CATCCTCTCTTCCAGTACAGATTACAAAGACCAGTGCACGTCTGAAGGAAGGATGCATTTTCGAATATTTTAACAAAGCCTCAGCGCAAGTTGTACAGAAAAAAAAGACTACAAATCTAGATATTCATGTTAAGAAGTCTTTCTGTGTTTGGGATGTGTGTGTTTTCAGGGGCTGTTTTAATGGGGACTGAGTGTCCTGTAGGGGTGTGGCAGGTTTCTCCTGCATTAAGTCCTTTACTTTTGGTCCTTTAGAGGGCACAATTGTCCGAGTGTCAGACCCAGACTTAGAGGAGGAGCATCGAGAGTCACTGTAATGGTGGCTCTTCAGTCTACGGTCTGTGAAGGAAAGGGCCAGAGTCTGATGAGCCTCCAGTGGTTTAAAGAGGTCAAAGGTGATGAGCGTCCGTGGTGGTTTGTGTTCTGGTGGCACGGGACCAGAAGCAGGCTTCTTCTTCTCCTCTTTAATGTTGACATTTTTGTCCTTCTTTCCTTCTTTCTTAACCTGAAGGTTTGCATGTTTGAGAGTGCCTGTCCTCCCATCCTCCCTCCCTGACTTTGCCTGCACTCCCTGTGTACTCGACATGTTGCCCTCCCTGTGCCCGCTCTTCTCCTTCTTCCCATGTGAAGACTTTTTTTTATGTGAACAGGCGTCTCGAGCCTCTTCCCTGTCTAGCTGTAAGTGAGGTGCTGCTTGTGCGCCTCCCCTGTCTCTGTCGTGCTCCTCTCGCTTGATGTGGGGTTGTGTGTTTGAGTCACAGTCCTTGGCCCACTTCTCATCTCCCTGAGCAGAGAGCGAAGTCTGAGAGGCTTTACTGCTCTCTCTCGTCTGCATCTCGTCCTCTTTTTTCCTCATCTGTGGCAACAACTGTGTCAGTGTACCACCCTCGCCCTTAACTTTCTCCTGCTCTCTCATCCTGTCCTTCTCTCTATCCCTGTCCCTCCCCTTGTCCTTTTTATCCCTCTCTTTGCTTTGATCCTTGTCCTTCTTCTCTTTAGGCCTTTCCTTCTCATCTCTCTCTCTTTTTACTTTGTCCTTTTCTTTTTTGATTTGTAGTGTGTGGTAAGTCCTCATCAGACTGTCTTTAGTTTTCTCTTTTAGACCTTGATTTGGCAGAAATGTCTTTTGCTGTCTCTCTTCCTCCACATTGTTGTCTTTCCTAATTTGCTGTAGTGACTTAGAGGGCGCACTGACCACACCAGCCTCCACGTGGCACTTCTGCAGTGTCTGACATGCGTTTGCACCGGCATCTCCCCCTGCCCGGCCTTCCTCTTTCTTAGCTTCAGGCTCCATGTGTGTGTGAGTAAGGACACCTTCATGTCTCTCCTTTTTGACAAAAGGTGGGGACTGTGTTGTCGACAACTCCATCTCGGCTCTGTTCTCTTGCTCTTCCTCCTTGAAAATCCGTGTTGGAGTTTGTGAGGACAACCCCTCCCTTTCCTCGGTGTCCTCGCCCTCCAGCGTGATCGCTGTCTGTACTGCAGGCTTGCACTCCTTCCATTCTGCTTCCTCCTCCTCTTTGATTTGAAGTGTGTGTTCTCCTGGTGCACACTTCTCATCTTCCTTCACCTCATCCTCATCCTCATCATCCTCCTCCTCCTCCTCCTCTTCGTGTTGGTGATATTGTTTGAGCCGGATATGCCAGGCCAGACTACAGACTGCAGACACAGTCTTGAACTGATGAACAACTCCTCTGGGGATGAAGTAGATGTCGTTGTGATAGAGCTGGATCCGGGCGTAACGGATCCCCTCTCTCCTTAGCTGGTTCAGCTTTGCATCATCAAGCCACTGCACACACTGTGGAGGTGGTGACAGTGAACACATGAGATTCAGTAAACCCTCAATAAAATGTGAACACATTTACAGTTCGCCATTACTTCCTGCACGGTAGACAGAGAAGAGCAATTGATGCTGACTGTGTATTTCACAGGCTATAGTTAACACACAAGGGACATTCCTTTACTCTAAACCAATCACCAACATAGTGTGCAGTATGTCAGAAGTCAGAGAAAAGTTCTTGGTTTTCTCATTTGGACTTAAAGTTGCATTATTTGCTTTTTTTTCGGCAACATAGGGACAATGCAACAAGCTGAAAACACTGACATAACACCTTAAAGTCAATGTGACAAATGTGCAAAAAGTTAAGTAGCAAACCATTCTTTTGGAGAACATGTCTCTTTAGCTAGTAAATGCTCCACTAGGTTCACCAGCTGGTTGCTAACCTGCTGAGCAGGTAGTGCATAGTGAGTATATCAGGCCTTTTGAGCTGAAAACAACTGCCTTGCTCATGAGATCTGTGAGAGTGTGGGACTGAATTAAAACAGGTAAGTTATGGGCCAGAAAACCAAAACCAAGGTGAAAGACACTTAAAATACAGCTCTGTGCAGATGAGCAAATCTTTTGATACATGTGGGTGTCTTGCCTTGACACTGTGTGGGTTCATAATTACAAAGGGCCTCTTTCAGATTACAGTCATTTAATTAATATAACAAACAATGGGTGCATCCTTAAAGGATGTTTGATACATTTGAAATAACATTGGGAAAAGTGGCAGGTTCTGTTGCATTCCATTAAGAAATCTGACCAACCTGAGACAGCGGAGGTTCATGGAGGTCCAGCTGCAGCCTCATGACCACATCTGGGAAATCTCCAGCGTGAAAACACACGACATCTTTAGTGATCCGTGCAGGAGTGTCACTGCTATAAAGCAATAAACAAAGATGTGTTGATGGGACTGATTCAGATATGAACAATAGCAGACGTTGTCAACAACACATGACACTGACTGACAAGGTGAATATTTTCAAAGACAATGGAGACTACAATCTGCACAAATGATGCTGTACAAGCTGTCATCAGCATCTTCCCATTGTGTAATTGCATCTGCACTGTTGGCCCTTTTTAAACGACGTACCTCCAATGTGTGTTGCTTTTCAACAATGCACATGCAACAGTTGCCGGTTTAAGAGAAACAGTGGCAAAGCAAAGCAGGACGGACCACGTCAAACTGTGCGGTTATGCTTGATGGTTAAGGGAAGTACTGGGTCTACGGCTCGTTAGGGTCCAGTAGTGGAAACAGATATTGTTAACCATCACTAGTTACAGACCAGATCTGGGCAACACGGCTGTTATATTCTATGAAAAAGTGGGTGCTGTATATGAGAAGAAGAAGAGAAATGTCCGTGTATACTCACTCCTCTCCGCAGCGTACGGCCTTCAGCACACCTACAGCAGCAGTAGTTTGTCTCTCAAATCCCTGGCCAATGTGATCAGCGTGGGCTCTCGTCCGGTCCTCGAACAGCATCTCTCGGGGCTCACTGGCTCTGGGTAAATACTGCAGGTTCTTTATCTCATTGGTGGACCTGAAATATATTTATTTTTAAGCCAATGTAAAGTAGGTAAAAGATAAAGTGAAAGGGGTTTTCTTAAGAGAGCTCTGCTCTTTTCCTTTAACTTTTCTACTTTTACAAATGAAGAAGACAGATACTCTATATCTCCACTCACCTTTTCCTTTTAAAGGGTGATTTTGGCATGTCTGCCATTGGGATCATCTGTTCTCCAGGTCTGACCCACATGATGGGGCCATCGTCGCTCTCAGTGGGGCTCTGCAGCCGCAGACTGGAAAATGTGCCCCAGGGCAGAGTCCGCTGCAAAAACACGAGGTGAGAAGCTTAATGACTCATCAGAAAACACGTAAAAACAAATATGCAGGCATGTTCACGCATCCACTGCGTGCAGGGGTTTGTACATACACAGACTCAACAAACACACCAACCTGTAGGAATGGAGATTCCTCTAACATGCTGATGAACTCTGGGAAGTAGTCGCCGACCTCCTCATCCACAGCTCCGACCAGACTGACCTGCCGCATGGCCCCAGCACGATAAGTTCCCTGGGAATATGTCCGCTTCACCTGCAGCAGAGACGGCAGCAGGGACAGATCAGACCCTTACCCAGGAGGCATTGATAAATATTACTGCGATTAATCTACAGCTAAACATACCCTGTAGTCTACTTCCACTCTAAACCTTTTTAAAAACCATATTCACCTTTTATTAGGGATGCGCCTATACAATACCAGTGTTCGTTTCAAGTCCAATATCACCCTCTAGTACTTGTAAAAGTTAACAGAGACTACACACTGATACCACTTAACATCAATACTACCTAAGTAGACTGAGCAGGTCCATGGGCGGCGGCAAAGAAATTTCAGTTGTTCAGAGACATTTTAAGGCAAGTGATGTCGACAAAAGGGAGGCGAGCAAGTAAATGGTATGGCCTTTACACTGCACCTGTCTTTAATATAGCACTCGATTAAAATTCCATCAATATCTGCCAGTTAACAGGACTTTAATACAAAGGTGTATTATGTGCCAGAATAAGGGTGACTCACCACTATGATTACTCTGTTAGCTTGCTGTGTTATGTTACATCGCAATATACTGCAGGATGTCTCAGCTAATACAGCTAATACTATTAATAACACTACCTGTATAATGCAGTTACACTGCATTAAACAGCTATACTGATCCAGATGGAAGTCTAAATGCAACACAACTAAGTTTAAATGATAGAGATATATACAATATATGTTCAATAAATAGATTCTGTGTGTATAATGTACACATTTTACACAGAGTGCGTTCAGGCCGTCTTTCTGAACTCAGAGCACGTTCCACAAATTGGATTTACTCTGCTTCCATCAGGAGAAGGTGCAACTCAAAGGATAGTTTTTAGCAAAATGTACTGGCTTTTTAAACAAAATGTAACCTGGCCTGTTAGCAGCAGTAGATGTGACAGCGTATTCCTTCGTTTCTGGCTTTTTCTTCTTCTCTAGATTATTTTTTGACTGTGGCATCGGCTGTGTGCTTACTGTGCATTTACTGTTACTTAGTTATTTCGGTACGTTTCCGTTTGTATTACATTGGCAGCAGTCTGTAAACCCAATTACCCTTCTGGCACCTAAAGGTTTACTTTACATGCATAACAAAATAGTAAGATATCCTGCATGTACAGTAAAGAAAGGTGCAAAGTGCAAACAACAATACAACACGACTCAAACTGCATGGCTACAGTTACTATATTGTAAATTGCAAACACTACAGAAACACTGTACCAAAAGGTGCATCTATGTTACAGTATAACCACGTTACCATGGACAAATCTGTAAGGCAGACAGAGGTATTAGTGTTACTATGTCACAAAAGTTATGAATTACAAGCAAAAAAACAGTCAATTTGTATAAAGGCCTGCATCACACTAATGGGGAGATGTGATAACAGTGGAAAAAGAGGGTAAATGTCACCCTTTTGACAGCTAATGACACCAGATGCAGATTAAACCAATACAGGCTCTGTAAGTATTTATGTGTGTGAAAAATGAGTTAAAATGTCCACAGAGCAGGAAAGCAAAGCAATTTCCAAATAACGTCTTCCAAGTTTAAACATCAGATCAAATAATCCCCCCCCTGAAAAAAAAAAGTCTGGAGGAAAGTCTTTTTACCGATGAGTAAAACTTTGAAACCAACTCATATTTCATCTGCTCTGGAGAGAGAGACTTCCCAAGGACTGCCCACACCACCAGGACTCCATTCCTCTCTCTGCAGAAGCACGCCATCGCATCTGGTGTGATTTTTTTTTTTTTGTGGAGAAGAATTTATTTTTCAGCAGAAAAATTAGCCTAACTGTATTAAACCTACTGTGGGACTGTCTGAAGACAAAGCAGGACAACTGACACATGGCATTTTAACCAGACCCCCAGCCCACTGAACATCTTTGACATTTGAACATTTAACAAAAATAGTTCAACAGTCACACTGTTTGCCTCGACTACAGCAGAAGTATGCCCACTGACTTTTCATTAACTGTTTATAATCAGTTTTGTTGCATACTCTCTCAAAGAGTATTTGCATTTCTTTACCATAAGAAAAATTCATTAGGAGTTATTTAAAAAGAAAAACAACATCACAAGACACCGTCTGGGACACTGTAAAATGGTGCTTATCCAAGTGAGAAATGAAGCCCCCCCGGGGTCTGTGACACAGACACAGGGGGGGAAAACCGAGCTGTGCTATTAAAACTGAACCAAGCTACACAATATATTTTATTGTGCAAGACTGTTATCCATTAATCCTGCATCCAAGTTTAGTGCCAGTAGATTCTGACACATCACACCGGCCACTTAGCAACAGGAGCGCTGAACAGATCCGATTCTCCACCTTAACACTGTTCGCCTGTATGGAAGAATATATAGGGCTTGTTTTTAGTGAGAACAGCAACAGGAGAAAATGCACCATCTGCCTTATGTTGGAAGCGGAGAACATCACGATGCCAGACAAGCTGAAGCAATATCTGATTACAGAGCACATGGAGTATCAGTGCGACCCTGAGAGATACGTTTCCTTCCCGGTAAGGAGTCGCTGGCATGAAGATTCTAGGTTTGCCAGACTTAAATGTTGATGCTAGAATACAAGGTGTAGGGTGCTTACATACTTACGTCCCTTTTTAAATTTAGAACTCTAATTTCTCATCTGTTTCCGATGGACTTTAACTCTATCCAGCGAGATGCTGCCGCTGTAAGGGTCCATCAGATTAAGGCAAACAGAAATATTTATCAATTATTGACAAATCATTTAAAAATCTAGTTCTTGGCATCTCTTTAGATATTTATGTCTCATTTTAGCATGTGCAGGTGCTCATGAAGAAAAAAAATCAACCAAAACTGGAGATTTCTGATGATACATCATGGGTAATTTAATGAAACGTTCTTTCTGCAAACAACCAAAGCCAAACTCTTTATAAAAACATTCAGTCTGCACTGGTGTTGCAAAGTTATTCTCTGATCTATGAATTGAAAAACCCTTACATGCTTTTAAATGAAGAAATCAAAAATAAATTACAACTGTATGACAGGAAAAGTCACAAGAAACAAATGAAATATCCTGAACAATAATCCAAAACTGTTAACACAAACCAAGGCTACTATGAAAGCGTTCTCTCAAATGCAGACTCTTTTTAAGCTCTCCCAGACGTGAAAGCACAACACCAACTGAAGGTGTCATGAATGTTATCAGTCGCTCTAACAAAGGTGGTTTTCAAAAACACATATGTGACAAAAGAGGATGGGACACACCATCAGGGCTCAGCTCCACAAGACAACCTGGACACAGAAACACGCGAACACAGGAATAAACACGGCTTAGATCAGCACGAAAAAAGACCTGCCTAACAACAGACTGACACACGCAATGTAAAATCTCAAAAAAATAAGAAAATTACAATAAAATAAATAACTGTGGATGTGTTGTTTCAGCTTGCGGCAGCTGAATCCGTGCTGCTCACACCTCCCAACTACAACCTGACACTTCACACTATCAAAGTGGACCGTTCAGCATCCTCTCACATGCAAACTTCCAACCCTCTCCACAGTACAGAGCAAAAACCAAAGAAAAGACAATGTTCTCACCTGAGAGTGGAAATTGGCCATGGTTGTCGTCTCTATGTCTTTCTTCCCGAGCACCTCCATCTTCACTGGTGCGTTAGGGAACTTGTAGGAGAAGTAGTCCAGGAAGTCTGGGAGGTAGGATGCCGCTCCATGGATGATTCCCATCACAAAACATGCAGCCTGGGCATTGTCTTCGCTGAATGACAGGGTCACAAACTCATCTGCAAAGCGCTGTATCTCGACCGGAGACAGAGAGGAGAGCTGGTCGCTGTAGGCGTGCACCACAGATGCTCCTCCATTGGCCTGGTGCTCGATGTGGATCAGACGGCCAAACTCCAAACCCGGCAGGGCTGGTTCTGGGGTACAGTGGAGCAGGGAGCTGTAGCCAAGCCTGTCCCTTACCATGGAGGAGATGGAAACAGTGGTGGCAGCAGTGAGAGAAGATTCCTGATGGTGTTGTGGTGCTGCAGTGCCGAGTAAACTACTGTTGTTCCCATTGATTTGGCTCAGGAATTCAGGCAGACCCAGAGAAACTCCTGAACACATCGTCTGACACGAGCGATGATACATCTTGGGTCGGCCGTGCCTCTCCTTCACTCGCTCCCCATCTTTGTGCTTCTTTTTCTTCTTCTTCTTAAGTTTCTTCAGGAGGAGGTCGTCCTCTGAAGCAGCTTTGGGCTTTTCCTTCAATTCTGTGATAGACGATGTGACATTCTTACATATTAGGTTCAATGGTCTGCATTATTTAGGGCCTATGAAATGCAGTGCATGTGGGGACTTTAAGTGACAATGTTAAATACTTGAGACTGCACTTAAACTTCGATAACTCTTTGTTCCTTTATGTTGTTTTAATGTACCGGTAAAATAATGTGTGTTTAATGAATTTGAAATTAAGACACTTCTTTTACCTCTTTAAAAATGTGTATTTCCCTCTAAATTTTGACAGAATGATTTAAACCACATTTAATAATTAAATTACATTTAATCCGACTGAATGTATGTGCACTGTTCTGCCCTGTTTTCTGCCTTTAGCAACAAGAAGCAACTTGAGTGCAGTATTGTCACATCTCTAAGACTGCAGCCTATGTGGGCAAAACATATTTATGATACTTTAATTTTATATTTATTGTCATTCAGGTTTGTCCTAAAATAATTTTGGAGAAAGAATAACCGTTTTTATTCTAATTGGCCAGTCTCATTCTTACCCTTCTGTGGGGAAACCACTTCTCCGTTTTCTCTTGAAATGTCATGTCCAGGTGGAGGTTTGTGATTTCTCCACTCTTTATTCTTCTCGTTTTTCTTCTCTCTGTCTTCCTCTTTGATACGATGGTCTGAGTAGAGCAGAAGAAGAGACCGAGTTGGGTGAAATGCTGTTACATTCATGTTGAAACAGCTGACTAACAAACATTTCCACGTGTATGTATCACCACCTGGGCCTAATAAATACTGGGGCCTGTGGTAGAGCAAATTATGTAATCATTTAATAAATTGTTTTATTGCAGCACTACATCCGGATGAGTTCTGAATCTGATCATAAACCGAGTAAACAAAGTGCTGCAGAGAGCGGGTCGTCAGTGTTGTCCTACCTCTCTGTAGCATTTTCACGTCGCCGTTCTCGGTCTTTGTATGGCAGCTAGCTGGGCTCACTTTCCCCACACCGACCGCGGAGCTCCGCCGCGCTTCACTGCTTTTCACCCTCTCCTTGTGGCGTTTGTTTTTCGCCTTCTTCGCTTTGGGAGGTGAGGCGAGGAAGTTGCTGATTTTGAAGATTTTCCGAGCGGGAGTAACTGGGACCGCGGCGGCGGTGGAGTGGCTCGCCTTGCCCGGGCCGAAACTCCATTTCGCTGGGCTCCCACAACTCTGCTTCCCGTTGTGTTTTTCCTCTGCGCACAACTCTCCGTTCAGTTTCCTGTGCTTCAGGCCCTTCTCCTCCACCCGGACTTTCTTGGGGGGCGGTGGATAAATGTCGCTGGAAGACTGCGATCGGCTCTCCGGCGGTCGTTTTGCTGTCAAGGGTTTAGGGGAATTTGTTTTGCTGTTTGCTGCGAAATGCATGGAGTCCACGGACTCAGCCATCTTGGAACTTTCTATTTTTTACGGTCAGACGTTACTGATGCGTGAGAGTCAGGCCGGGGGCGGGTCTTAACGTAAAACGTCAGACGCACGATGACGCAGGGTGTTTACAACCTGCAAGAAAAGAAGTTGATTTTTTTTAATATAGCTTTAATGGTATACACCAGTGTAGCAAAATACACAGATCTGTCAGCAAGTTGAACATTACAGGCATCGCAATATTGGGTGAAACAGAAGGAATAGCAATCTAGAGAAGACAGAAAATAAAAGCAAAGAAAGCAAAAGAAGTAAATAAGGACAGAGAAAAAAATAAAATAATAAGGAAAGGCCAGATGTGTGGTTTCATACACTCTATACATTCAGATATGGGTTAGGTTATCTAATATCACATGTCATTGTGTTACAGTGCCACATTCTGACATAGGCTAAAAGGGTTCTTTTAGTTTTTTTTTTTTTATCAATTTTACCTTTAGAAAATGTTTAAATAGTGAGACTTTTCCCCAGGGATCAATAAAATGTAATCTTAATGCATGAGAGAATAAGAGACCATATACATTTTGTTTCCAATAATTAGAGTGAAAGACATTGTGCTTACTTAATAGGTATATGCATTATTTCACTGCTTTGAATTTATTGTGATTATTATTATTTGATCTAATTATGAAAACTAATGAAACGGAACTGATGGATTGTGTGATTTACCTGTTTCCTTTTTGGGACTGTTCTCCTGTCTGGAGCCCATCTTCTATTATTGTTTTGAACATGTGACTGCCTGCCCACACATACTAAAAAAAAAACAAAAGTACATCAAAATTTAACCAAGTCATTTAAATTTTATTTATATAGCCTAAAATCACAAATTTGCATGAGCAGGATCTACCGTCTGTACAAAACATGACAACATAAAAAACACTCAGGAGAAAACAAAAAAGAGAATATGAATATGAGAAGAGGGTGACTTTCAGCTGCTGTGTTGCTACATTTTGTGATAATGCTGTGACCGTTACTGTGATGATTGATAGTTAATATTATGCCGCCATCAACAAAAAAGAAACTTTTACATTTTAAAATGAGCTACCAAAAACCTTGATTTTGACACATTGCTGTACACTTCTAATATATTAATATGAAATGTAATAAATTAATAACAAATGCACAAACACAGTCTTATAAGCACATAATTTTTCTAAAAACATCATGATTTTACCACATCCCATGTGTATGTCCTTTCTTATACCAAAGAAATTGCTCATGTATTACAAAAGTTTTCAATGCATAATTTTCAAATAGCTGAAAATAAGAATTCCTCATAAATAGGATTGTAAATAGGCAAATGAATCAAGAAATAGCTTTCATAACTTAATTTTTTTGTTTCAAAAGATCTGCGACCTAAGAATATATTGTCCGATTTTCATGTCAAAATGAATCACTGATATTTGGATTCTGTATATTCAGAGACATTTCTTTAAAACATATCTAGGTGGCAGTAGAGTTAAGAAAATATATTGAGAGGCATTTTTCTTGACATCATCAAGTTGAGTGAGCCTTGTATCTGTGTAGTCAGAAGCCCAGCAAGCAAACTGTTGCTGATGTTGGGAGGTGTCTGTTGAAAATGTGTACGTCAGCGGCACAACAAGACTCGGTTAGTCATTAGTTTCAACATCCAAGCTCTAAGTACTATTATTAATTTAATGTCAACATTATGTGATTATATTGTCAGTACAGAGCACAAATGTTGTCATAGATACTGGATGAAAGTTATTTTTGTTATGACAGAAAACAGAAACAAATTCTGACAAGATGTGGAAACTTACATCTCTTCTAAGTAGTTTGTCAAATGGTCCTTTCTCCCGGTTCACATTTATTTGTACGCTCTTCTTGTCCATGTCTGCAACCACTACACAGTGTTTAACAGTGCTGACATTGGCTTATGCTAACATTTGATGTGTTTATTTCTTTAGACCCATAGTGTTCATTGGATGAATGTTACACTGAGTACTGACATCTTAACTGTTGCTATAGAGAAGAAGACAGCTTGCAAAACTATAGAGTGGAGGGAATCTTTGGTTCCCATAACAGTGGAGTGAGAATAATGCTTCACAGAGCAGCACCTTCAGCAGTGGTGGAAAGTTCAGTCCTTTATTGAACATCTACTACATAACATACTTTAAAAATAAATCAAAAATATCCACTTTCACCCCAAAGTCTGCTCCCCTGTCCAGAAAGTAACAGCAGCAAATAGCCTGTTCCCACATTACACCTGCCTTTCTTATTGTTCATCAGGACAAGAACTCTTTGACATAATTTTCAAACAATGTTTTAATGAATTCCAGGCTTTTGGAATTAAAACAAACTGACCTGAGGATATCTGCTGCCGGCAAGCTGTAGGAAATCCAGCCTAGACGTAAGGCCTTCATTTTTAAAAATCACCATCAGCCAATTAACCGATGGAAGCAATTCTCACACATGACAAAGAAATGTGGTAGTTAGTGCAAAATTAAGGAACTGGCAATGGACAATTCATGTGAGTATGAATGTGCAGTATGTATGATAGAGAGGACAGAAAGAGACAGAGAGTTATTAATTTCAAACTGATACACACCAATCCACAGCATGGATCTATCTATCTATCTGTCTATCTATCTATCTGTCTGTCTGTCTGTCTATTTATCTATCTGTCTGTCTGTCTGTTTATTTATCTATCTATGTATTTGTCAGTCTGTCTGTCTGTTAGCTGTTTTGCTAAATGACGATGTTTATTTGTTCTCATCACACAGTGAGTCAGTAGAATAATATTGTCCAGATAGGTTTGTACCTCCAGGCAGAGAGACAGACTGTGGTATGACAATAGGCTGGTGCTGCACTACGTCAGTTGTTGGGTTTACTCCAGTTCATTTGGAAATGAGACATTTACGCACATTGCAGACAAGATGAAACTGGCTCTGCCCAAAGTGGATGGAGATGAAGTGGTCTGCCAGGAAGTGCAGGCAGCAAAGCTGGATTGATGGTCAGATGTTTGTTCTAGTCTGTATGGAAAAAACCACAGTGTTTATACAATCCAGGACAGGGAGCGGGCCAAGCAAGCTCACTGGGGGAATTCAAAACACTATATCCCAAGAGGGCACCCTGACAAGAAAAAAAAAAACGCTGCTGTCCATAAATGGGTAAAGCCAGAAGTGAGGGTATTATTTGTGCAGCTGTGGAGAACAGAATGGATTCTTTTAGACTGACTACCATCAAATGAATCAACCATATTCACCTTGATCAACAGTATTATATCTTATTATGATTATTGTTTTTCCTTCAGCCTGTGTATGAGGCTAGTTTCCTATTGCTAAGCAGCAACTGTCTAGATTTATGCATGGCTGTGAAAAATATGGCTGTATGATAACAAACCAATAGCGCCTAGTGTTCAGGCAGAAGTTTTTTGAAAGTGTAAACATTTCTCTCAGACTATTTCCCATGGTAAGTGTTGAAGTACTAACGTGACGATGGAAGGTCTTGTTCCTGGCTTTTATCCTGCTAACAGTTGCCAAATGTCAAATGAGCTCATAAGTGCTTTAACAGAGAAAGGAGAAGGAGGGTCCAGCTTGGCATGTAAAGCCATATAGTGTAAATGACAGATGAACAGAAATGTAATAAATATATGAATATATAAATATGAACAGATTACCAGGCCTCAGTATAGTCTAGTAGCCCTTAGCTGAACCATATTAAAAGATTTTTTTCTAAACTGAGAAGTTGAACTGAAGTTCAAACTTTAACATTTTTAACAAATTGTAGCATTTAGGGTTATGGTCTCACAAGGTACTGTTTCTTCAGACGTAGCTATGAACTTACAGGCCAGTAGAGTGACCCGTTTTCTTCCCTCTTTACCGACTCTTCATTTCTACTCTGATGTTTCCCACAGTTCTCCCTCTAAACAAATGGTTTATTTAGTCATTACTGGACAGCTGAGAAGCGTCTCCAGCTTCGTGCAGTCAGAACAACTGGCCAGTGAAAGAAACAGAGAACAAAAGTGCACAAGTGTCATGTTTCATCACAAGACAATTTAAGTAAACAAAGCATTAAGAATGGACACAGATCTGAAACAATGAACACAGGCATTGCATGCTTTCACTGATATCTCATATCCCATGGGGGGGACTGACATTTACACACCAGGTCTGAAAAACTGAAGCCTCAGATACCTCGCTTAGTTCATGGGACTACATTTGCTCTCTCTTTTTTCTGACCTATGCAGACAAAATAACTAAAAGCCCCAACCTTAGGTGAACATAGAATCTATACACAGTAAGATTAGCTTCGCTACACAGAGACTACATCACAGATTCTGGACACTTGTTGAGGATTAGTACTGTATGAATAAAATCAGTAGTACAGTACATGAGGAAATTCTCTTCTCAGACCTTACATTTAAATCAAGCGGCCTTCTTGGATACTCAGATGCTGAACTAAACCACACACCTTACATTAAAATGAAATATTATAAATCTGACTAACTAAGTCTTGGATCGAACCCAGCCATCAATTTATGTAATTCACATTTATGTTTTGGCTTATCACATCTGTCATACGTTTGCTGACTCACAGACAGGAAACCTGGGAGATGCCTGCCAAAGCAACTGGAACACACACATTCAAAACCATGTTATACTGATCATTACAGCATGGCATGAGAATGTGTTACAAATGGTCTTTATTAGGTGAATTACAGTAAACAGAATGAGAAAATACACTGGAATGTAATAATAGGATTACACAACATGCTTTCTAAATCTTTTACCGTTTATGCTTTTTCATGAATGATTTACAATAGAGTACAGCTAGTTCCGCTTATATTATAAAGCAGAAATATTTTACCATTCCTCACACTTCATGCGTATCATCTCCTGTCTCATCCATCACCATCCACTTATAAGAACATCCTCGCAATCCTCCCTTTATTTTGTCACCTGCTTCCCTTTTAAAGCATCTCACTCCTCATCTCTCTCACAGGCTCACTTTCCAGTGAACAGTTCCATCAGTTCCTCCTCCCTGCCTGCTTATCTCCTCCCCTCACTGTCACTGTGCGCCACAAACTGAGGTGGGTCTTATTTACACTCTCTCCCTTCTCTCCCTTCACTCTTTACTCTCAAGACACAATGGGGTTGACAGCACTGTGCGTATTTGGAACCCTGCTGGCCTTCTCGAGCCTCTTTTGGACCACAGCAGACTCTGGTGAAGGAGACCTCCTGGGGGATAAGGAATATGGGCCCTGCGTTGCAACCTTGAGGCCTGAGGGGATGTGCAGACAGGGGGAGGATGAGCACATGTGCCCCTATCTATTCAGTCTGCCACCGTTGACTGTTCATTTGCCAAAGCAGCTTACAGAGCTGGAGAAGATCAGGAAGGATCTGCATAAGCTGAAGGACGATGTGGATCAACTGAGGAAAATGTGTGCAGACTGTACAGTAAGCCAAAGTGAGAGAGAGTGTGGGAGGCAAAGTGAGAGAGAGCATGGGAATCTGAATGAGGGTATGGATAGACATAAGGATGAGAGGAACTGGATGAATGAGAGAGCTCCTGAGACACTGAAAGATTTCAGACAAGAGTGTGAAACAGACAAGGTTACAGTGGAAGGGGATAGTGACACTGACGCAGAAAAAAGAACAATTATGGATGAGACAGAAAGAAAGGAATGGGAATCCAAAAGAGGTAGCCATATAGAAACCATAACAGAAAATGAGAAAGAAGAAACCTTAAAAGAACTGGCAGAAAAGGATGGAAAAAATAAATCGGAGCAGGCAAAAGGAAAGGACAGGTGGGGGTGGGCAAAAGTGCCAAATGCTGGTGGAAAGAAGCGATTAGTGGGACAAAAGACGGTTGGAAAAAACAACAGGGAGACAGACACAGACAGAAATAAAGAAAAAGATAGAAAAGGATCTTCAAAGAGAGATCAAGAGGATCAGTTGGAAAGAGGAAAAGGAAGAAAGACAACCACTAATATAGAAAATAAGAAGAAAACACCAGAAAGTGACCATCACCTGAAGCGAGACAAAATAAAGGAAGAGAATCAGACACAAACTGGTGAAGACATCAGGGACCGTGATGGAATAAAGATGCCTGAGGACCGTGAGCCGAATAAGGAGAGAGAGCAGCACAGGGAGGAGAAGGACACAGAAACAGGAAAGGGAATAAAAGCAAAGCAAAATAATGATACACAAAAACAGATTGGAAGCTCTGGGCATGCAGAAAAAGATACAAGTATAAAACAGGAGGAGGTGGAAGAGGAGGAGGACAGAGAGACAGATAAAGAGATCAAATCAGATGAAGAAAAAACAGTCCAGAGTGTACAGAGAGACAGTGATGGACAATTAGCATCCAGCAAAGCAGCTGAGAGAACAGACTTTGTTTCATTCCGCCCGACTCCTCAGTCGGCCATTAGATCAACTCTGAGGCATGATTCCGTGGACACTTCACATTTGATCACAAATGTCAATCTAGGGACCATGATAACTGCTTATGGACCACCAACCCAAAGCACAGACCTTGGAGCAGCTGGCACCTCTGATGCAGAGGCAGACTTTAGGACCGTGGATAGCCCAACAACGACAGACACAGTAAGCGCACTGGGTGGTTCTGAGCATCAGATAACCAGCACCACTGCTAGGTTCACCTCTACGACTAGCATAAGACCTGGGGAGGGTTTCCAGGGTCGAGTTAGCTCAACTAAAACCACTGCTACTCCCAGTCAGAACTTGTATACAACTACATTCCCAGAAATCACAGACCACAGCACTGGGACTGCTAAAAAGAACATCAGCTCAAACACTACGGATGGGATAATATCTCCACCAGACCTGAAGCCTGGAGAACAGCATAAACAAACACTAAAGCATCCTAAGAATGACCATAAACATGACCAAGTTCCTTTGCCTGGCAAAAAAACAAAACAAGACCAAAATCAGAGGCCTTCTCAGGAAAAACCCAGAACCAGCCAAAACTCTAAACCTAGCAGTGACAATATACAAGTTCAAATTTCAAAACATGACCAGAGAGCTCCACCTGATAATGTAACAGCTGATCAAAATGTAAAAAACAATCAAACATCTAAACATAATCATGTAGATGCTCAAAACAAGTTACCTTTGCAAAAGCCAAACTTTCAGCAAACATCTAAGCCTCCTGTCCAAAGAGCTACATCTCATCAAACACCTGTAACTAACCGGCAGCCTGAATTTGTTGAAAGCCCAATTATTAATCAAAACTCAAAACCAGACAAAGAACAGCATCATACTCTTGAAACTGACAAGGCTGAGGAAAACCAAATGCCTGAGAGAAAAATGAAAAGTGAAGAAAAAAGAAAGAAACAAGGACCTGAGCTAAGCCAACATTTCACACCTGTTCAAGTGCCTAAATCTGAAAGAACTGAAACAACAAGCCTCATGCCAAAAACTGACCTAGAGCCAGTGACAGAATTAATGGAGAACTCGGATGGAAGTTCATCTCCTGAGCCTAAATATGACCGAGACTCAACACCTGGACAAAAGCTAACACCTGACCATGCTAATATATATGTTAAACCCGGCCAGAACATTTCTAAAGTTAAACAAAAGCCTACACCTGGCCACACACCTGACCCTAACCAAGAACATCCAGTGCTTGTGACAGGCCAAACGACTAAACCACAAATAAACAACAACCAGACAGCACAAACCAATCAAGGGCTTAAAACACCTAGCTCTGAACAAATGTCTAATCTTAACCCAAAATCTGTGCCCAATGAAACACCTGGAGCAGAATCCAATAAAAGAGCCACACCAAGGCCTCCATCCAGTCACAAACCACTGACTAGACCTATACCCAAGCCAGGAGCAACACCTGTTCAAAGGCCAGAACCAGCAGAGCAACCAAAGCCAAGTCCAAAGACCAAAACAGATTTAAATCTTCCTCATATCAGCGTGACTACTTCAGACATCATCCAAAATGCTCAACCTACATCTGACCCAGCAAAACAGATTAGTGAATTGACTCATTCCCCAGGGGAGACAGGAATCAGTCCCAGCACTATGAAAACTATCACCCCGGGTCCAAAGATCTATAACAGCCCGGAGCCCGGACCCTTCCCTCACCTCCAAACTTTCCTTGAAGCTTTCACAGCGAGCCCACGCAGCAGGACTACGTCTGATCTGAGGCCACAAACAGCTGGTCAGCTATCACCAAGACCAATGACAACAAGACCAAATAAAATCATGCGTGGGATCCACCCAATTGTTATTCCTAGCACTAGGCCAGGATCCACAAACCCAAATCTAGCTTCTAATACTGACTCCAGCTTACAAGCTAAAGTACATCACAACATGGAGGAAGCAGCACCCAGGCAATCTCCAGATCCAGACAATATTATGTTTCCAGCTCCTTCCTCGGGTGCTCTAACCACCTCTACAGTGAGCCCTGACATCAGGGCAACAACCACTGTTGAATCTGGGCCCAAGTTCCTGGACACTGAATCTTCCACTCCCAGTGCACGCGAGCTGCGTGTCAAAATCAACCAGGTGGCTGTGTTGTTCAATAACAGCCTGGGTCCAGATGGAAAAGCACTGAACAGACGCCTAGAAAAGCACCAGAAGGAAAAGCAGGGAGGCAGCAGGCCTGACAGGACAGACAGCAAACTACCAACGCTGCTTTCATCCAAAGGCAAGAGCTATTACTGTATTTCACACTTCCACAGTGACTGGTCAGATTTTGTCTTTGATTACTATGTCTGGCAGAAAATAATGTAGATTTGTTTTTTTTACCATTTTGCTTTTTTACAACCAGTCACCTCAAAAAAATGTATGAAAGGATGAGGCCAGTCATTTTCTAGATTAATAGTATTTTCAACACTCCCCATACAGAGACTAAAAGCAGCAGTGAATCACTTCTACTCATGGTCAGTGTCAGTCAGTCTCCACCCTGGATTAGTTTACAGTACTGTTGCCAAAGACCTTCGCTGTTGTTCAAAAACAATTAAAAACACATCAGGGAAACAGACCACTGCATTAGGTGACATGTTTCCTCTTTACAAGGCCCACATATTTCTTAGAAATGTTGCCCAAAGGCTCTGAACTGTCATAACTTTTCACGGTATCTGAAATAAGATAGAATCAAGGGCCCATGCACAAGATCTCTGGATATTTTTTTAATCAAATATCGGGGTCTTGTGTTTCCTAATGAAGAAACGTGTCACCCAGTGCAGCGGCGTGTTTCCCTGATGTGTTTTTGATAGTTTTTGAACAACAGTGGAGGTCTATGGCACAGAAAAATAAGATAATCCAGACTGGAGACTGACAGACATTAATCATCAGTAACGACAGTTCATTGTTTGTTTCAGTCTCTATATGGAGGCCGTTGAAAATACTGTTAATATAAAAAAATGACTGGCTTTATCCTTTATTCACTGCACAAAGAGGTAAATACAATATATAAATTTGATTATGAGAAGGAACGAGAGATGGCATTTGCACCTTTTCAAAGAAATTCCTTGTAAATTACAACCACCTCATAAAAGCTATTGCCTTCTGACAACATTAAATCACCACAATTAGGCTGAGAGAAAATAGTTGGAGAACTGTTGTGCATTAGTATTTGAGTGTCTTATAATTTAATTATGAAAAGACAAGAAAAAGATGTCCACACACCCTTGTTTTCTAATAAATCGTGCACAGTGCGTAGACATCTTATCCTTGTTTTTTCATCTTATTCGGGTTTGTTGTCCTGCACCTGTTTCCTAGTTGGATTGGATGCGCACAATTTTTTTCTGTTTTTTGCCTTATAATTTTATTTATTCATTTAAAAAAATTAACTGGTATGATCAAAGCTCAGAGGATTCAAGAAAGTGGACCACACAACAGGCTCTGATGATTCCTATATATAAAAAGCGTAACATAATTATCCAGTCTGAGATCATTTTTGTCCTGTACATCAAAGGAAGAGCTGCAGTTGTGTGCACAATGTGTGTGTAAAGTTAAAAAAATGTCCTCCAATGAATAATTTGGCATCAGGTCAGTTTTCTGGAATCTTCACTTTTAACATCTGGGTTCACCCACTGCATATGAAATAAAAACTAGCAGCTTCCTCACCCTGCTGTAACACATAACGATCAAGAGGAGTGTCTCATTTGTTTACCTCATTCTTTACAGATTACATCACACTATGTGTGTTTTATTCTTTAAAGCAATGACTAGGAGAAGATTGAAGACAGACCAAAAATGCAGTTATTTTACTTATCATTTTTGTTGTTATTGTTGTTTATCTCTCAAAGCTAGTTTTGCTTTTTGTGTATCTACTGTGGAGGTCCACCTTCAAAAACATTAAATCTTTTGTGGAGAAAAAGTAGTTCTGCACTGACCTGTTGCACGTCTGAGCTTCCCCAAGACATTTCATACATGATCACTGTTGCAATGGTAATTTCTGCCAGATAAAGCAGGTTTTTAGTTGGATATCTCATTTATATGAAGAAGGGTACTAGTCTGCTTTTAGAGAATTCTGAGAAAAAGGTGTTCATAATTCTTTGCACTCTCTTCCAATTGTCCTTATCTGTAATCACTACAGTGAGCAGGGACTGTTCAGACCACCTACTCCGAGGAGAAACAAAAAGTGGAGTGTACATGGTGACCCCTGACATCCGCAGCAAAGGCTTCCGAGTCTTCTGTGACATGGAGCTGGGTGGTGGAGGCTGGACCCTTCTGCAGCGGCGACAGGATGGCAGCGTGAGCTTCAACCGCAGCTGGGCTGAGTACCGTTCAGGGTTTGGAAATGTGGACAGAGGGGAGTTTTGGCTGGGCAACAACATGATCCACCTGCTGACTCGGGACAGGGACATGGCGCTGCGGGTGGAGCTGGAGGACTTTAAAGGGCTGAGGGCGTATGCGCAGTATGAGCAGTTCAGGGTGGCAAGTGAGCGGCTGCGCTACAGACTGACAGTAGGCAGTTACTCTGGTACAGCAGGTGATGCTCTCCACTTCAGCAAAATGTATGATCACAACAACAGGGAGTTCACCACACCGGACAGGGACCACGACCGCTATCCATCTGGGAACTGCGGAGCCTATTACAGCTCTGGCTGGTGGTTTGATGCCTGCCTGGCTGCAAACCTCAATGGGAGATACTATGTGGAGAAGTACAAAGGAATCCGAAATGGGATTTTCTGGGGGACGTGGCATAACATATTGACAGAGTATTACCCCACCACTCACAGAAGGTCCTTTAAAACTGTCAAGATGATGATAAGACCAAAGGGATTTGTGCCATAAGCTGTGACTCTGCCAGGGCACGTATGAAAACAAAATACACACAAAGGGTTTAACCCTTGGGAGGGCCTTACATATTCCATCCATATAAGTCGATATCAAAGCTCCAAATATGACCCCAGGACCTCCAGAGGGTACAATCTTCTACCATAGTTTATAGTTTTAACAAAACTTATTATACTCGCCACACATTTACTGTACATCATTAACACAATGCTGCCACCTTGTGGTGTTTGATTTCACCATAGCCTACTATTTTGTTTACAGGTTACAGTAATAGCCTTTAACAGTAACTGAGGATGTAAATAGTTTCACATGTTATACTTCTAATTAATCTTTTTATAATATAATCTTTTAATGTTAAATGTCAATGTCAAGTGGAATTCATTTAATGATGAGAGAGAGAAATCCACTTCTGAAGAGTTATTTTTCTACTAAGACAGTCTAAATCTGTTGTAACAAACTACTATTTCTATTACAGTACTAGAAGCTGTTTGGGATATGTGATAAATATGGTTTGTTGAGATAAATAAAATGAATTTACAGAAAAGCTTTGCATTCCTTTATTTTTTGTCTGCTGAAATTAATGCAAACTAAATTACAATCAATTCAGTAACAAGAAGAGTTTAGTCAACATTACTAAGAAAGTAGCCACAGATTCCTCACAGATATGACACTTGTGAGACAAAAGAGCAACAAAACAAAAGATCTAATTACAGAAACAGCTCCATGCCGAGCTTTGAATGTGCATACATAGTTCAAAACTCAAATTCCCTACAGCCTTTGTGGTAAGAATGACACCACATGAAACGTTCTCAAAGAGGGCTTTTGATTGGATAAAACCAGAAGGGGGCGGCACCACGTTTAGACAAGATTGCACAGACAGTCTGTCAAGTTGATTACAGTGATGTTGATTCAGACCAAAAATGAAATATTTACCTTCAACATAAAGGAAAAGAAAATAGTCTATATGGAAGGGATGAGGTATCGGTTCTCTGCAGGACTTCAACAATTAGCCCATTAACCAATTTGCAGATTTATAGAAAGTGAATCAGCAACTATGCTGATAATAGATTGATCGTTTTAGTCCATTTAAAGCAAAAATCCCAAACATTTGTCGGCTCCAGCTGGTCAAATACTAGAATTAACTGCTTTTGTCTGTTCTACATGTCTGTGGATTTTTTATTGTTGGCCAAACCAAAGAAGATATAAAGACATCACCTTGGGTGGTGGGAAAATATTACAGTCATAAATAGCTTTCTGCTAGGCAAAACAACAACTGAGAAAATCTGCTGATCATAAAAATAATCATTAGTTATTCTCGCCTACTCTATTTTCAGACCAGTATTTCCATCCTCAGTGCGTAGGTAGTACGTGTATTGTGCAATCCTACAATAGACCTTGAACTAGGTTCTAGGGTTCCTAAAGTTCCAGACATTTAGTGTAACCAGTTGAAAATCTGGCTGACATTAAGCGCAGTATCATTGGTGTGATTACAGTTGTCATAGCTTGATTTACTAAACTAGTGGTTTGGTTTTGAACAAGTTCCCTGTTTTTAAAATCATCATTATTTTAGTTCAGTGCTTGAGTGTATTCTTCGTTTAAGTTCTGTTTGCATTATATACATCTTCAGCAGAATTGTGTATTGCTGTACTTTACAATAGGCCTATTTGACTGCACTTCACAATTCTTACTTTTAATTATTTCTTTTCCAATTGTTTTATTTTTTTCTTTTTAATAGTATGCCTTTTACAAAAAAATCTATTTAATCGCTAGGAACCAGTAATACCAGCACTGAACACAATATACATGTGGCTGTTTTCCTGCTGTTGTTAACCTGAAAAATGTAAATTTTAGTCATCGTAAACTAGGCTTTTAGTTTGAAAACTCATACCGGAAGTCCTGATCATATTCTATCGGTTTAGCACGGACTTGCCAGTGTGATGACCGTCCATGTTGACTGAATGACAGCAGGTTGTTTACTTCACTAGTTTAACAAACGGTAAAAGCAGCAGTGTCAGGTGTGAATGAGCTGGTTTACCGGAAGGTGACCGAGATGCTCCGGAGCTCAGCAGGTCCGCGGGGATGTGTCGGACTTCTTCGCTGCTGGTTCTTCACAGTCAGCTCCAGGACTCTCAAAGTTCCAGGTTGCTCTGTGCACACTTCACGGGCCTTCTCTACCTCTGTCCCCGCGAAGTCTGAAACACAAAAAGGGCCAAACAACCCTCTGAAGCAGTGGGAGCTGCCGATGAGCCCCTTCGGGACAGTGCGGGCACGGCTGGGCTGCAGCATCTCCATCTGCCCGCTGGACCCACACGCCTTCCCTGAGGCGGACCGAGCCTTCATCACAGTCTTCGGCACAGACACCGAGCCGGAGCTCGGTCTGGATCGCTTCCACGTCCACTACGACGAGCAGACTAAAGAGCTGCTCATCTCCGCTGAGGAGGCGAACAGCTGCCTGTCGGTTGGTCTGGCTGCACCCATCAAAAGCAGTGAGCTTCTCCTTTGACATGATGATGTAGTTAAGGATGAAAATGATAGTCTCTGTTCAATAATGGCTGTAATGCACCTGTCATTGATCAAGAGTGACCCCGAATAATTTCAGTATCTGTGTTTTGTCAGATCTGTTCATTACTACACTCGGAAAAGGCAACGTGCAAGTGAAGGAAATGGAGTGTGACATCTGCAAGGTGCAAACAGATAGAGGCCACTGTTTATTGCACTCTGTCAAGGTATATGATGACATGACAACATACACTAATGCCTAACACAAGCGAGCATGCATCTGTATCTTACTGGCTGCTGTCACCATTTCTCTGTCACGTCATGCAACTATCAAATTACCCACAAACTCAAATATCACCTTCTTCACTTAAGGATGTATGAAACTTCTCTGGGTACATTTTTACTGAGAGTCTTCAAAATGCACGTTGGAGTCGATATTGGCTGATATGTGGAAACATGCGTATCAGCTTTTGCTATAACATAACTTTAGTTGGTTTACAGCACAAAATGTGTCACCAAAAAGCCACAAACACCACAACTACACCTCAAACATCTTGTTCAGGATTAAACTAAACTACCCACAAGGACAGTGTTGCCCACACTTGAGGGTCCCTGGAAGTCTGAGGGGTTATGAAACAGTTAAAGGAAGATACATTTATTTGTGTTGCACATGGTTATGGTAGTTATCTGACTATTCTAAAAGCTTTTGCTGTTCTGTGAAATAACACATACTTCTATTCAAATGAAATGATCTTAGAAGAGAAAAATAAACTTTTCTGTTGAACTGCTCACAAGTCTTCTCTTGGTAAGTCACAAGGAGACACTGCTTAGTCTTAGGGGTGCACATGTCAAAAGAGGTTGGGAACTACCACACTAATCCTTGTCGTAGAGCTGAAGATGTTGAGGATTCCTAATTTAAAGGACATTGTCACTCCTGGTCCTTACAGTGTTGTTTGTCATCTCTCAGGGTAATCAAGTTGAGGTTCAGTCCACCGGAGGACACGTCAGAGGTGTGGGCACTATCCATGGCAACGTGGACATCAGCACACATGGAGATAGTGTGAGGACAGTGTTACTGTGTGGTACTAGTTGATTTTACACTCAGCTGTCATTAGAGGGCGGCAGCAGCCTGAACACTGAATTTGTCTAAATGTTCTTTAAGGTTCATTCAATGTAAAACAGAGAAGAAAGCTTTAAATCATGCATCACCTGGGTGCGGCCCTGTCTACTGATCAGTTGTGTGTTTGCAGGCAGTGGATGTCAAGAAGCTCCAGGGCACCAAGATGAATGTTTCAACAGAACATGGTCCTCTGAAGGTCAAAGCCATCTATGCTGAGTCCAGCTGCATCTACTCCTGCTCTGGGAAGGTAGAACTGGGGCACATACATGGTGAGCAGACAGCTGCACCCATCACTCCTCTGTACCAAAGCATCTGCAGCATGCATGCTTATCTACTCTACAGTGTTTGTGTGGTTGGTGTACTGTACTGTACCGATATACTTTTACTCCATCACATTTCCAAGTGAAATAATGTGTTTTTGTACTGCATTGCTATAAATTAAGATGTTACATATAACAACAATGTCCACATTACCATATCATTTTTCGAGGATACTTCCACATCAAAGCAGACAGAGCAACTCTATAATGAGCAGTTCACCCAGTCTACCAGCAGAGCTACAGCTACCTGCAGCTAGTGTAGCTCACTCTGCCATCAAAATCTTCAAAAACCTGCACTATCCGCGAGGCATGTGGCACACAGCTGCATCATGTTAACTTAAGCAGGACTCTGGCACATCAGGAATCCTGGCTCTCATCCAAATAGTGTCGATTTAATTACAATGTGGTTGGTAACAAACATCCCTGTGATGTGAAGAGGAAATACATCATCTGTGTAGAATGTTAATTTCTTCCTGATGCAGATAAGCCTTTTGTCATAGAATGCATGGAAACGATCATCTTGTTGACTTCAATAGGTTTAAGATACATACAGTCTGTGACGGAGGCCAGATTGTCCACAGTATTTACTGTTGGCATATTTTGTAAATGACCTACTAGCAACTTTAAATAATCCCAATACTGGCCTTGTGCTTTCACTGATTACAAGGTAATGCCACTGTGAAGAACGTGTCTGGAGATACAGTTATAGGTAAGCAGGCTGACTGATTGCAAATTGGCATACTTATGGCATCTACATTGCTTGGTAAATACACAACGCCTGAGGCATGCTTTGCTGTTGCAGATGGGTCAAACAGCTTCCTGAAGGTTTCCTCTCACAGCGGGGGTATTGATGTCTATGTGGGAGATGGCAGCAGTGCTGAGCTGCACAGTCAGGAAGGTAAATACATATAAGAACTCTCACCATACAAACACAGCTTTCCTTCATGTGTACTGGTCTGTATATTGAGTCATATTCTTTTTCATAGTTTAACACTCACTCATCTGTCATACGTAGGAGTGGTGTGTGTGCGTGTCCCCTCCTCATTAGGAGCTGGGGTGGAGCTGTGTGGAGCGTCAGTGGAGATCAGCCCAGAGGTTGTTCTGTCTGGAGTAGAAAACAAAACAACTCATGGCCAAACCACAGTTACGGGTATGCCATTATATCACACTTTACAGCACAGTTATTTAGCTAAACCCGCCAACAAGTAAATCAGCTCAGAACGTTCTGTTTCCCTTCTACTCTCTGAATGTCTCCTGTATTTCTCTCCTTTGTCCTATTTGGTATCCCTCTCAGGTTTTATGAACACAGCGTCTCCAGTGGACCAGTGGGTTAGAGCTCAGGCAGACAGAGGCTCTGTCAGGCTCAAGACACAAAGCTGGTTTGATTCACTGAAACTTGGGAGTTGAGGTTACAAGTGACAGGAATCCTAGGGCTTAAAGCCAGGGCCAGATCTGTACCTTTAGCTGAGAATGACTATATTTTCAGTGAGGACATTATACTGTATATCATCTACAGTATTTCAGAATCGCTGTATATTCACTAAGTCTGGAAAGCATAGTGTTGTTTTGCATTGAACCATCACATAGTTTGAATGTTAATTAGAAACTCAGTGTTGGTTTGTACAAACCCCATTTCTAGAAAAGTTGGGACACTTTCCAAAATGCAGTAAAAACTAAAAATTGGTGATTTGTTACTTTGCTGGAACCTTTAACTGACAAAAGTAAAAAGAAAAGGTTCTCGGTGTCTTCGCTGACCAACTTAATTGCATTTTGTAAATATAAACATTCAGAATTTGATGCCAACAACAGAGTAAGCGAACATTTGGACAGAAGTTTATTTATCATTGTTAGATCACCTTTCTTTTTGCACCTCTTTATCATTTGTGAAATGAGGATACTGACTGTTGCAGTTTTGCCAGTGGAATACCGATCCATTCTTGCTGGATACCAGACTTCAGCTGCTCAACAGTCCGTGGTTGTCGGCATCTTATTCTCCTCTTCATGATGCACCATACCTTTTCAACAGGAGACAGATTTGGACATGCACTGAGTCTATGAAGCCACGCTGTTGTAGCATGTGGAGAAGGATGCCTGCCACTGTCCTGCTTTTTTTTTGAAACATCCACGGGCTTCCTGGGGAAGGACGTTTCCTTGGTGGCAGCATGTCTCTCTAAAATCTCACAATACTCCTGGTACCTTCACACAAATGCCAGTCACCCATGCCATGGGCACTGATACATCCACACCATCACAGATGCTGGCTTTTGCACCTTTTGCTGATTACTGTCTAGATGGTCTTTTTCATCTTTGCCACAGAGAACCCGACACCTGTTTTCCTAAAAATGAGTTGAAATGTGGACTTGAACACATGTGAACACACAGAACATGTTTCCACTGTCTTTCGGTCTATCTGAGATGAGCTCAGGCCCAGAGAATGCAGCAGCCTTTCTGCACAGAACTGATGGATGGCTTCCTCCTTGTGTAACAGGTCTGGATGCAGCATTCGGGAGTAAATAAGGAGTTAGCTAAAGAAAACGGCGTGCATGTTTCATTTTTACACAAAATAAACTGTTTGATTTTTAATAATGTATGGTTTAATACTTCATAGAACTACGGGGTTTAATTAACTTTTTAAATGTTTCAAATGTGCCACCCCTCTGAGTCCGTGTCCCAGCCCGGCCAACCCATCCAAAATTTTCTAGCTCCACCTCTGCTGAAGATGCCAGCTGACATTTGTATCCACACAGTGGTGGTGTGTGTGATATAGATGTAATTAGTGGTTAGTGCTGAGTTGTAAACACCATTTAGTGATTTCACGGTTGTGGTAACAGCTTGGTTTTAAATTGTATCTCTGTAATGCAAAACAGTCTTTTCAGAAGGGATGAGGAAGAAGCACTTAATATTTATACAGGATGGCAACTTCTCTCATACATTGCTCAATGTAGATAAATAAAGGCAGAGTCTGTAGGAACAGCATATAAGGAATACAGTATATATTTTGATATAAAGTATATCAAATGTTGGTTGCTGTGAGTGCATGACTGTCAAAATGCTGTAACTGTTACTTACGGCTCAGTTATTACAAAATCCTGAGTTAATTACTTATACATTTATTTATTTTTTTATTCTCTTTATATCCTTTTTGTCCTTGCTGGTCTTGTCATCATTGACTACTGTTCTATCACTTCCCAGGTGTCTTCAGTCTTGATAGGTCTTGGGGCTGAATGCACAATTTGGCCCGTGTTGTATCCAAATCAGTACGGAGGGTAGTCATTGCTGTGCTCCCAGTACTTCACACGTGGCTGCAGCTTTAACGCGGCCACCCTGAGGGAACACACACTCACTGGTCATTAAAACGTTTCATACAGGACTTTAGCATTGCAGCACTCTTCTAAGTTTGTATCTTACTTGGAGATACTGCTGCAGCAGGCCATCGTGATAGAGCAGAGCAGAGGACAGATCCTTTCTAAGTATCGAGGTGTGTGATCTGTGAGAAGAACACAGCCACTCACATCAAGCTCTCGCAGGCACTGAGATCCACTTGTCAGATACTGCACTGCCTTATCTGTCATCTGTGGCAGGGCAAAAGAAAACAGACAACATGTGGCATGAAATCAAGGGGAAACACCATCGACTTTAGCCAGGGACTATTTTAAGGGTTTAGAATAGTGTGTACATGCATGTGTGTACCTTGGGACAACCTGACATTCGCAGTGTGACCAGGCTTTGGCAGTAAAATGACATGGCTCTGATAGCTTTATCAGTCAGAGCTACACAGTGAGACACGTCAACATGTTTCAGCTCTCTCACATTTTTGCACAGTGTCTGTCCTCAAGTGGAACAACAGAGATGACAGAGAGATCAGTGATGAAATGTGAACTGCTAAAAACATAAAAAGAAATCACGAAGGAAACAAGAAACAACATTTACATGAGCACTACTATTCAACAACCAGCCATGCGTTGAAGTTCTAACTAGATTCGTACCTCTATACCAATGTCTGTGATGTAGACACACTCGGCAAGAACTAGCTTCCTCAAGTGAACTCCTTCAACAGCAGCCAGTCCCTAAAAATACAAATATCAACTTAGAGACTGTTCACAACAAGGGTCAGCTATCCTTTTTTTCAGGAGTGTGAGGGTAAGAACAAACATCCAACAATACCTGATCCTGGATGTTGCAACCACTGATGTCGAGAGAACAGATGGAGCTGCCGCTCAGACACTCCAGACTCCGGTCAGTCAGTCTTTGACAGTAACTCAAGTCAAGATGACGCAGTTTACACAGCCTGATCAATTGTGCACACATGCATACACATACACACCACATAAACAGACTGCTATGTGAAACTAATCAACAGACCACTGCACATTATATTTGTGTGAATGTATGCAGTTGTACTATATACCTTTGCACAATCCTCATGACAGAGATGTCAGTGATGTGACTGCAGTGACTCACATTCAGCTCTTGTAATTTGGTGACTGATGAACCCTCAGTCAAGTACTTGATCCCAACATCACTCACTCTGAAATACAAACAGTAAACACATCATGTCTGATGATACAGCACAGCATCTAAGAGTGAAAGTGTACCACAATAAAGCATTTACAAAAACATATACCTGCTGCAACGTGAGATGTCCAGGTATTTCAGGTGCTTGAGGGTCGCCACAGATTTGAGGCTGGCATCAGTCATTCTGGGACATTCTGCGGCATGGAGTCTGTGGAGGCCCTTTGAGCTGCCGCATAGAGCCATCCAACTGACGTCTGATACTTGGTAGTTACCTGAAGTGCACAGGGTGTGTAGGGTAGACTAGGAAAAAACAATGTTCATGTGTACATGGAAGAAGGCTGCAGTATGAACAGGAGCTCACCCTCTATGCTAAAGGTCTTAAGTTTGGCTACTTCAGTGATGGCTTTAAAGGCAAAGTCGGAAAGATGAGGAGCATCCAAAAGAGAAATGGCAGACAGACAGTGACATCTGGCCAGTAGAGCCTGTCAGACAAGAGTAAGACTCAAAACCTCTCTCTGAGACAAGGGGTTATGGGTTTGTGGACAAGAAAATATGCAAGTTGACAAAGCTTTTATATATTCTCTGCTGAACATTCTAGAGCCATGATGTTGATCCTGTATAAAATCTGTGATGATGAAATGAACACACTTACCAAGACACAGCTATCTGACAGCGTGGGCATGTCATCGATCACGATCTCATGGAGAGAAGGGCACATGGCTGAAATGTGTTTGAACCCATTTACTGTCATCTGGAAGAAGAGAGGGGAAAATATATGCCCATGTTGGAACCTGAATCATTCTCCTGGAGGCGGTTTTCCCTCAAGCTTAACATTTCCAGAGGCCCATAAAATGAAACCATAAATCTGGAACCGAGCTTTTACACATTCCCAAAGGAAAATGTGTTTTATGTTGTGGTGCATATGTGGTATGTTATGAAGTGTGTACATGGTGAGTGGGTGGACCAGAGCTGAGTGTATAAACCCAACCCTCTGCTTGGCCACAGCTGCCTTTTACTCTTCCTCTCCTTCTGATCCTCCATTCGCTCTGAGCCCTGACGGAGCCCAGTCACCAGTGTATGGCCAGAAACAAGAGGAGGCACGTGCACACAGAGAGCAGCGACTGGATATATCTGAGGAGGACTGAACACTGAACTTTCAAAAGGAAAGAGCTGTGTTTTGTCTACAGCTGAAGCTGTGGTCATGCAAACAGGGAGAAGCACACCAACTGACCTGAGTGCAGCCAGAGAGGTTGAGGTGGATGAGATTGTGGCAGCCTTTTCCTGTGGTCAGGTACAGAAGGCCTTTATCTGTGAATCTGTAGCAGTAGGCCAGACTCAGGTATTGGAGGTTGAGGCAGTTCCTGTACAATATAAATAGTTACATTAATTTATATAGGAAACTAATTATTTGTGGGGGGTTTTGTATAGTTTATAGTGGGCTGTTAATTTTTAACAAAAGAAAAGATATACTATATCATCAAATTTATGCATGATAAAATGTGAAATGTTTTGCCAATCTATTCTAGTGACAGAGCCATGTTTCTGATGGTTTTACCACAACTGGAGGTTTACCTGGACAACTCCCTTAGAGTCTCGTTCGTTATTAGTGTGTGAGAAAGGTTCAAGTAGAGCAGGCAGGGGCAGCCCTCAACAATTCTCTGAACCAGCATATCCTTTTAAAGAACAAATGTTTAAAGGTATGTGTTACTGGAGGCGTGGGACCGTGTAATATCTAAAGTTACAATCAACAGTGCATTAAAAAAGTAACTACTTTGTTTTCATGAAATGTGATCAATGATATACAAATATTATAACAAATAAAACAGAGTAAAAGAACTTGGAAAAATCCAATCAGACGATGAACAAATGTGATGATGCTCTTATTTATAAAGTACTGCTACACCTTAGTGATGATGATCAACAGTCAACACTGAGGGACACTTTGTCAGAGAAATACAATCTAATCTTAGACAAATGCCATTTTTCAGTGGATACTTTCATGAATTTATTGTGGGCTCTATCAATATTTACCAATCAAATTATCATTAAACCTATAAAGAGTAAAGTAGCAAAGCTGTTAGAAACATGATATATTTTCTGAGAGATTTAAGATTTTGTTTTGATCCATATGAGGAAACAGTGTTTTACTTACTGTGACATTAAAACATTCGGACACATTGACCTCCTGGAGATTTCTGCATTCACCTAAGAAAATACAAAGGAAAGAGAAGAGAAGAGAAAGAGTTAGTCAAACTGTTTTGGCCATTTTAAATTCTTTATTATGTGCAAGCCCTGATAATATAAAGCACAAGACATTATTTAAGTAACAAGATGCCTTGGTTCAAAACTGTATAAACATTGTTAGGTAGCTCCCGTCTCTTACATAATCTGCTACGTCTCCCTTCTTCAGCAGGGTCAACAGCAGCTGTGCTCTATCATCAACACTGCAGCCCTTTGATCCAGTGCTTCTGTTTTTAAACCTGTTTTCTTAAGACTCTCATCCCAACTTTCTGCTTCAGCTCTTGTTACTGTAAAGAAAATCTTAGCAGGGCTCAGAATGCGTGTGGCCTCTCTTCTTGTGGCCTCCCTGTTCCTGCTGCTGCTGTTGCTCCCGTCCACCCAGATGAAAAGAAAGGGGAAGGGCAGAGGCCTCAGAGGAGCTCGACAAAAGCTCACACTAGACAGGTTATTTGCTCAGTTCATTTTTCACAAATGCTGACCACATAGACTATGACAAGCCATTAATTCATTTTTATATCTTTGAAATCCATGTCAGGGTAAGAGGATCTGGGCGCCTCAACAGATCAGGCCTCTCCCTGCTTGTGTCACCTGAATGTTTAGAGTCGACAGAATCTGGAGATGTCTTTGTGGACTGTCAAGACCGACGTCTTACCTCCATTCCCAAGTCACAGACCTGGTCCAGAGAGCCAAAGCACTTCCTTCTAGCACGTAATCAGATCAAAGTCCTTCGTGATGGGGCATTCTTTGGATATGAGAGTTTAACCAGTATAGACCTGCAGCAGAACCAGATCTCTTTAGTAGAGGAAGGGGCCTTCAAGGGCCTGACACGCCTTACAACCCTGCTGCTGCAGCACAATCGCTTGGAAACACTTAGCGAGGAGGCCCTCATCCCAATGCCACACCTACGCTACCTGCGCTTATACGATAATCCCTGGAATTGTCTCTGCCTGATGGATAGTCTCATACGCACCATCCAGATCCCAAGCAACCGTAATCTAGGAAATCATGCCAGGTGAGCGATTCCACAAAAAGGCTTTGATATTATGTGATCGACTGCTCTGATTCCACAAGTGTAGAAGTCATTGCTGAGCCTCAGAATAACAGCCTCCAAATATTTAATTTATCACTGATTTAACTGTAAATCCTCTGCTAGGTGTGCAGAGCCTATCAGGCTAAAAGGCATGAAACTGAAGCAGGTTGACCCCGAGTTACTCTGTAAGGAGTCAGACCCAACCAATGAGACACGGGGCAACCAAACAGACACCACTCACCCTGTAAAACCCAGTCCAATACGCACCAAACCAGATGCCACCACATCTTGCCATACCTACCTTTTCCCTGAAATATGGATGGACTGCAGTAGAAAAGGTAAGTCCACAGTCACCTTTTATTTTTCTAAACCTGTTTGATTATTTGTACCCTACTGTGCACTGAGCCTTACTATGCTTTGAGAAATTCAGCACATGTGTTTCTTATGCAACAGAGAGATTATGAAAAAACTTCTAAAGCTCCATGTCAGAAAGCTTGTGTGCTCTTTTGATTAAATATTACTGCAAAGGAAACATCTGGTTTGGCAGGTGTTTTCGGTTCTGTTGCTTGCTTCCTTCCTTGACCTCTGACTGATTCCATGTAATAGTCACCTTAAGAACAAATCAGAAAGGATCAGCTAAACAAATTTTGACCAATACATCAGAATAATTCTCAAATTTTTTTTTTACCTAAAACAGATTAAATCATATAATGTGTTTCAACTATTTGCCTACTAACGACATGAGGCTTTCTCTGTTGCAGGACTTTGGTTGGACAAATCTGATATATGGAGAGTAAAAAATAAATAAATTCTGGACATGTGAATGAAGTAATGTAATTTTTTTGGCTAATGTAAGAATATGTAACCTACTAATGAATCCTTTCCTTTCTATGTTTAGGTCTAACTGAGGTGCCCACAGGTATTCCAGAGGACGTTGTTCGTATTGATCTGTCTCACAATTCAATCCGTCATCTCAGAGCCAGAGATTTCCAAAGTGCCAGGAGCCTCAGGAGCCTCAACCTCAGTAATAACAACATGGAGCACATTGACACAGGTAAAAGATTTCATGTCTTTAACTGTTGCTACATGTATAATAATCATAACCAGTAAAAATTACAGCATGTGCTTAATATTTCCTGGAATATCCAGGAAAAAAACCTACATAAATAAAGTTGTGTTTTTCTTTGGCTGATAGGTAAAATGGAAAGCTCAAAACCCCAGAGCCACACCACTTTATTTCTCTTGGTTAAGAATAATTAGGAGTAAAAAAAATGCAAACATACTGAGAGAAGTATGAAACAAATGGATACTAAATCTGTTTCATCTCATTATTTTCTCTCTCATAGTTTCCCTGTCTGGGCTCCTGCACCTCCGTCAGCTGGACCTGTCTGACAACAGCCTGCATTTTGTCCAGTATGGAGTTCTTGAAGACCTTTACTTCCTGTCAAAGCTAAAATTGGGAGGAAACCCTTGGGTGTGCAACTATAGGTGGGTTCCTCTGCTCTAATGTGTAGGGTCAACTTGTGTTTGAGAGAAATACAAAAAATGATTAAAAACCGACTCTTTTTCAGCATCCACTACATGGTGTACTGGCTGCGTCTGCACCAAGGGGTGAGGTACTCTGGCCTGCTGTGTCACTCCCCTCCTGAATATACTGGGGAGAGTGTGGAAGAGTATATGCATTCCTACAACAGAGAGTGCCCAAAGGACAGGCAGCACAGCAGAACAGATCAAGACCAAACAGACCCTGAGCTTTGGAACACAGCGATGGAGGCGCAGGCAGAACTGGAGGAGGAGTTGGAGCCGAGCCACTTGAGAGCACCGCAGAAATATCAGATTTTCAGACTGTCCTGATTTAAGTGACATTTTGACTTTAAATAGGCTTTTTGTTTTCCTTTCTTTTGTTTCCTTTCAAATTTCTAAGACAGTCTGTATCAGATGGAGAAACTCCATTTCTTTCATGTTTTGTTTGTGTTGTGTAATCAAATATAAGACTTGTCAACTTATTGACTGTTTTGATTAATTATTACTATTAGAGCATGACCTGTATAAGCATGTGTAGACTAAAGTGGAGCATAGATATTGGACATAAAACACATGGCAAAAAAAATAAAAAATCATGTCTGGCATTAGGGTCTGCAATACCCACTTATATATTTCAAGCTGGTCCATTTCAGGGATGAGCAGCCACGCAGATTGAGATGGATCACAAATGGACGGTAGTTCTGCAGAATCTGCATCACTGTGGCATCAGTTATCCAGCCTTTATCCACAGAGAAGTTGATCTAACAGGGACAGACATTAGGACATATTTATACTAGTGTTTCATGTATACTGTAACTTTAAACACAACTGTGAATGAAATACAAGAATCAGTCCCTGTACAGACCTGACTCCACAGTGTGCCTGTCTGGATGAAAGCTTTCCACGTGCAACACACCTCTGCACAGTTCAGCCTGTCTCGTAACTCTAGATATTGAAAGATCTGGAGAAAAAACAATCATGGCACATATCTGCTCAGTTCAAAGTGTTTGATGAATGAGGGTGGACATGAAGTATGACTGTCCTCTCTAGCTATCAGAGTGAAAGCTGAGAACTTTAAGGTTTTCCTTCACAGTTAAGTTCTTTCATAATGTTCTCGCCATATATATGCCTTCTTCTATTTTAAAATGTTATGAGAAAGATATTAACAAACTAAAACAATGAAGCACTTCTTATAGCAATTATTTAACTGACATTTGGTCCTCATGGTTTTAATTTCACATAACCACCCCTCACCTTGGAAATGTTCAGCGATAGTCAAGGGGACAGATAAGCACCCAGACTGGGTTCTCAACTACCACTACCACTGTGCCTTTGTGAGGCAGAGTGCTTTCTCTCTCCATACATAGGCATGTTGCAGCACTGTTTATCTAGAGAGGTGTTGGGCAGAAACACCAGAGCAAAGACAGCCAGTGAATGTGAATCCAAAAACAAACACGGGCTACAACTGATTAATTTAGTGTAGTTATTCAGAGTCAGTAAGACAAGCTTTTCAATAGGTTTTCAACATATTTAGAAACTAGAGACCAATTAATGTGAAAGTATTTTACCTATTATATAAAGTCAACAAAAATATTGATATGCACAAACCCATAACGCAGCACAGTGTCCCATAAAGACTCCCTTCTGGTTGGCCATAGGTAATAAGCACACAAATGCAGCCGCGACTGACTTTAGTCAACTGGCCTCAGAGGCTGGAAGAATGTTCACAGTGAAGCTGACTTTAAATGTTATATAACAGATATGTATGATCTCATCAGAGAAACTGCTACGACTTTCAAACCAGGGCCATTCCTCACTCTGTGTGTGAATTAATTAGGCTCATGAACTTGAAAGAAAAACATGGACAAACTGGCTGAGTGGTACATGAAAATTGTGAGGTTCTACCTTCAGTGCAAGGCTGCTAGGGAGCACTGAGAGTCCATCACACCCTTCTTCAGTCTGACGGTCTTTGTTGCTGATTTCCATAAAACCCTTTTCCAACTTCTGTAAGAAGCATACAGAAACAAACAATATAGAATACTGCTATAGAGTACACTATACGATATATATATGTCTGTTTTTTTAAACTAAAATTCCATATAAAAGTGTACCTTAAAGCACTCTTTTGTCCTCTTTGAGTCCTTTACCATTTTATGCCATGCAGCTATGATGCGCTTAAGACGGCTAGCATTTATAAGCCTCTCAAGTTTGTTGATACCAGCTAAGTTGAAAGAAATAAAAATAATTTCATCAAAACAAGTATCTGCATTTCTGATTTTTTTTTTTTTTTTTGCTGAGGATAACATGTGGTCTACATTATGGCAATATTATAATCACAAGTTGGACTGTGTAGAATTTAATGGTGAAAGGTACAGGGGACCAAATGAGTCACAGGAGTGGGTGTATACAGTTGGGGAGAGATGACTGTCAGGAAAGACTTTCAGCTTGGACACATTGCTTAACCACAGAGCAAGTTTTCTCTGGCTACATTAGAGTCACAGCTTGCAAAAACAGTCAGTCCACATTGGGTAAGCAAACAGTCATCACAATAAGCTTTTTCACTCAGAAATACTTACTGGAAGTGGTCACCTACCAGCCTGTGTCTTCTTGTGTAACTCCACCCAGTTCAACCATTTGGTGAGTGCAGCCTGCTGGCATTTCATCTCAAAGTGCTTCTTTGCCATGTCCATCTTCAGGGCCAGATCTAGGGCATCTTCCTTGTTTTGCATGGTGAAACTCTTCCACTTCCTGTGCCCAACAGCAAACACAGCTCATCATTAATTCAGTGGACAGCTATGCAGACATGCCATCAGGATCCTGCATTTAATCCACAGGATAAGAATCAGAATCAGTGGAATAATATTCATGGGTTAATTCGAAACATTATCTAAACTTAAATTAGTTTATATGAATGAATATCTCAGTCAGGTTTGGACATTCAGTTGTCTGATGGAGATGACTGTGCTGGCAATGGAAAGGTGAGAGGGAAACAGCAGAATACGATATCCTCATAAAGTTGCTCACTTGTTAGCAATGACCCAGAGAAAACATCTTTCATTTACACTGGTCAAATTTCACTTTAGAGCTCCATCTGAGCCACTCTCTCTTACAGTGATCATTAATATTTTAACATTTATATGGGTGAAAATTTAACTTTCCAAGTGTGGGAGATTAAATTACTTTGTTTAACATTTCAGTAGTTATAAAATGTTATGACACAACCTGGATGTAATAGACCGGTCTAAAAAAATATTATCACAAAAAAGACAAACTAATTTACTGTATATAAAGAGGAAGGCAGGAGATGTTTTAAAATACCATTTTACAAGACAAAATTCTGGATTGAGTTTAATGATATTTAGGCAATCACCATTTAGTTATTTGAAACTGGTCCACCTGTGCTAGTCTAAATACATAAAGAGAATGCCTTACACACAGCAGCAGTCTACAACTGCCCTGTTGTGGTCTGTGTAAACAGAGCCTAAAACATTTTAGTATCCTTCCTTGCACTTTTCCTATCATCGTTTGCTGTCAGACTTTCTGGATAATGAAAGAACAAAGTATGATTGATTGTCATGATGACTGTCTACTGTTGTTGCTCCTGCAGGTGGATGAAGTGTTTGAACTTGTTGCTGTGGATCTTCCACTTGGGTAAATACAAAAACAAGTGTGTTTTTGGCAAAATTTGGCCTATTTTTTTTCTAACTTATTTTATTATTATTTTGGCATATTTCTTGGACTATGTTGTTATGAGGCTGCATTGGTTTTCCTCCTCAGAAAGGTAAGAATGTCTACACTATGAGACACTAAAGCTTTGTTTCCCTTGAGAGAAAACCAGTCCAAAATGACACAGAGAGGGTTTTGGTGATAGCCTTTGCACCTTCTGTGCAGAAATATGATTGGTTGAGATCTAGTTATCAACACCCCTTTGGCTCTTTAGTGAAGGAGCACACACACAAAAACTGGAGGGGATCAGTTTCAATGAAAGTCTTCAGACTGTTTATAGAAATGTAACTGCTCCTTCATGACATCAGGAACTAACTTAAATAGATATTTACAAACCACTTGGAAAACCATTAAAATTGAGTTGGTTTCTGGTGCTCAGAATATCATGAGAGAGTCTTCTAGGTCTGATCCACAAGAAGGACCTGCTCATGATGACGCAAGTGAAAATGAAGTCTGGCGTGAACTTAGGAATATAGTGTGTTAACAAAGTGAATGGGGCACCAACAACAGCACCAAAAGCCAAGTGAAAAACTTTGTTACCCTGACCCTGTCAACTGCACTGCAAGTCTCATTTCAACCAGTATTCATGGCAACCAAGCCTTTGGACTGGGCTCTGCTCTATATCCACACCATCATTTATCAGCCTCAAAGCATGTTTCAAGGAATTATAGAAGTTTGGTCAATTGTGGTATTTCTAGGGAAAACCCAAACATTTTCAGAGACATGCATGTAGACGCTCAATCAACAAGTTACAAGCTCCCTAAACAAATACCCTCTGACTCATTGTTTGGAGAGGATTTCTGTTTCAGTGAACATGTAACTGTTTTCCCTGTCAGCCATCTCAATATTCAGGTAAGACACCCAGCATTAAACCTCTAGCCTCTGAGAAGAATATCCATCATTGTATACCTCATGGTAAAGACTGTTTAACAAAATGTAAGAAACCATCAGGTGGCTTTGAACTTGAATATTTCAATCAAGTACTTTGCGATTAGACTATTGCAATGCCCTTTACGTCGGTATATTGCAATCTTCATTGAGGAAACTTCAGCTGGTCCAAAATGCGGCGGCTGGGCTATTGTCCAACACTTCCAGGTATGTCCATATTACTCCCATTCTTTGCACGTTACATTGGTTACCTGTACATTTTAGAGTTGAGTTTAAGATTCTTTTATTTGTTTTTAAAGCCTTATTTGGACTTGCTCCACTTTATCTGTCTGAACTTCTATCCATTTATGTTCCTCGTAGAGCTCGGCGCTCTTCTAAAAACTTGTCCTTAGTGGTTCCATGGTCCCGATCTAAGAAATGGGGTGACCGCGCATTTGCTGTTTATGGCCCCAGACTCTGGAACTCGCTACCGCTTGAGATTAGGTCTATACAGTGTATACATGTTGTTCTATGTTTTTTGACTGTTGGTTGATTGTTTGCTTATTGTTTTAGTCTATAGATATGTTTTTACTGTGCAGCACTTTGGGCCCGTCCTGAGTTGTGAAGTGCTATATAAATGACGCTTTATTATTATTATTATATGTCAGTGCACATAGGATGATATGATAAAGCTGATGTATAATCAATCACAGGCGTCAGCCCTGCAAGTACCCACACCCTCCTTCCTTACGTGCCTGGAACTTGACCTCCTGAGGGGTGCCAAAATTTTGCTCCACTAAATTACCTCTGAAATAGGCTAAGGGCAGTGGAAACAAATATTCCCTCATATTCCCACATTTGGTGTTTTGATGGTGGTGGAGAGCACTGTCTAACACAGTCTAAAAACTCTCAAATGGGTTGAGATCTGGTGACACTGAAGGCCATAGCATATGATTTGAATCCTTTTCACCTCTCATGCCCTATGAAAGGGGGCACCCTAGTATAGAAATGTTTCATCATAGGATAATGGAGATCACTCAGAACAACTTTGTATTGATTTGCAGTGAACTTTACCTTTAAGGGGTGGCTATCTCTGTGACCAAATAGTCTGTGTTACTCATTCATCTATTCCCCACTGCACAGGAAGAAGATGAAGAGAAATCTGACCTGTCCAAGCAGAATCTAGTCTTTGTCATTCAGGAATCAAAGCAAATGGATGACAATACACTAGTTCCCATTTCTAGAAACAGGCTCTACTGTAGTGTCTTTTAGAGGAATATGGAAACATTAAAAAAAGGCTTTCTCCTTAACCAGGCCCTAATACATCACCACATTTGTAAACTCATATGTCATGAGGTCCAGAACCAGCTACATAAAAGGACAAAAAACATCTGTTGACACCCTATCCATCATCTATCTATGAGCTTATGTCTCATGACCCCTTTCCTCAAGAAATCCATAAGCAATTAATCAAACCCTCACATGTTGCGCTTGACTACAATAGTGCAGGCCTACCTGAAACAAGAGCTGGTTAAATTTTTCCTATAGCAGGAGTAGGCCTTCTCAAACAGACAAAAAGACAGCTAAAAAGGAACACAGAACAGCAATTACTATAAAAGAACCAAAAAAGGAAAAAAAAACACATCTGGATTCAACTTGACTTTCAGTGGTATGTATACTACTAAACCTTACTGTACCATATTGTCATCTGGCTCCACAGAGACAGTCCTACGTGTTAGGGAGGATGGTGCAGGGTGCTGTTCTGCATCAGCAAGAAACTTGTGCCTCAAACAAGAAGAGTTGACATAAAAAATAATGACCACCACTCATTTAAATTTGGGCTTCAAACTAAAATCTAAGTTGGTGAAGACCATTTTATGTTCTTTATCAAAAATGGTCTACAAATTCCTTGTTAGTGGTATTAAGTGATGAGGACACTGATACTTCAGATCACCAGGAGTGATCCTTCTGAAAGACACCCACTCTACAAATAATGGTAAATGTCAAATTATGTTTTATCCACATAAAAAAGTACTTGATTATTTCAAATATGAATTTACAGGGGATCTCAAAAATATGTTAATAAGAGAAATAAAGTGCAATATAACCAGAGGAAAAGAATGCAATTGGAAAAACTGGACATTCTTCTTGCAAACAATTATTTTCCATTTAGTTTGGTTTATACAGTATTTCCTCCTCATTTAAATAAGCTAAATTTTGGGGGCAATGATATGAGATGGGATGTTTATAAGGAAAAATATGGTTTTTAATCTTCACTCCTTCAGTCTAGGAGTAAAAGAAAACCTGAGAAAGTGAGCCACCAAGTGTCCATGTTAAAAGTCACAAGAAAGGAGGTTTATCTACCAGTCAACATCCTGAAGATTATCATGTCCATGGATGGTCATAAGAGTTTTTTTCAGAAACTGTATAGGGTCACTGGGACATAACAGGCACGCCGCTGCCAACAGGGTCTGTTGGCAAAGAAAATGAATAGAGATAGCCTAAATATACGCTATAGTCAAATAAAGTTAATTGAATGTGCACAAATTACAAAAGAGCTGACCTAAACTCATGTTATCTGTAACATCAGCAATGTTACTATACATCGACATAACCTACCTTATATATTTGTGGCAGGCAGTGTTTCAGTTCGCATTCTTTAAGAACAAATTCTGTGTTTACTACATCCATATCTTGTCTTTGACGCATCTGCAAAGTCGAATAATGATCATACTGTGTATATATTTCGTTAGATCAGTTTAGCGTTTTCAGATTTTCCGGATACCTCATCTCAATTTGGTGATGTATGGTTGCCTGGTAACGAAGAAAGTAAAACTTAAGCGTTGGACAACTAATGCGCTGCAGCAAAGGTTAAATGTAGTGTTAGCACAGAAAGTCTGGGGAATACGAAGTTTAAATAGTTTAAAACACATCAAAACGTTTTTAAACACATTCCAAATACACAATACACAATGATACGATTTCGTAAACAGCTAGAAACTACATGCTAGTCACCCAGGGAAAGATTCTGTCGGCCACTCTGAGCTGACCGGAACAACGGAACAGATTATTGTTGACAACTGTGGATTATCCGCAAACTTCTGCACTTTCACAACAATGCAGCTGTAAAAAAATAGCTTGTGTGTGTTTTGTGGTGATTTTGATGGGTTGCCGTAAAGGCTAGCTAACTAATGAGCCGAGTTACTTAGCTGGTAAGTAAACAGATTTGACTCAACACGTTTCAGAGGATCTGTAGTTTAACGTTAGCTAGCTAGCTAGCTAGCTAGCAGAGCTAGCGTAGCACGACAGCATGGGAGATGGCAGTATTACTCCCAGGCTCGGCAGCATGAGGGCGTTGCTTGGTATAGTTGCCGGAGCTGGAGCTTCCTACGGGATATATAAACTTATCAGCGGGGGGAGTTTAAAGAGAAACAAGAAGAGTCCCAACAGTGAAAATTCTAGTGTCAAGAGCAGTCAACCTAGTGAAGCTGTCCTAAAGCCGGGGAGCCTCTTGGCCAAAGTGTCTGGGCTAGATGTTGTCTGTCCCCGACCTGTGGATGTTGCGTCAGGTAAGCACCATAGAGCTCAACAAAGCTGAACAGTAGTCAGGTCAAATAGCTCATGTCTGAACTTCTCTGACTGTTCCAGCAAAGTGAAAGTGTCAAGATAATTTCTCAAAATGTCCTGTATGGTAACACTTTGTGAAAGCACTCATAGTAATATGGTCACACACATGATACTGAGACTTTGATAAACATTCATATGAAGTCATTTTGACCATCATCAATAACTACTTACAGCTGGGCTGTAGCCAGTCTTCTCTGTTGCAAACACAAAACATTATTACACTGCATATCTTGCTCCATAGGTGACATTACTCACCAGTCTCCTGGCAACCTGGAGCCACAGCACCTGAAAATGCTGCTGTCATGTCTGCAGACCAATCCGTCTGACAGATGTCAGATCCTACTTACTCTTGGAAATGCTGCTGCCTTCACTGTGAACCAGGTACGGTCAAAGCATGTTTATGTTTTATGTTTGCTGAGCTATGTTTTATGTTTATATACAGTACAACCTTCTACAAGTGAGATTAGTGCTGGTTTCTCTCTTGCCAAACAAGACCTCAAATTTATCTAGTAAATTGCTTAGTTAAAAGCCTATGTAGCTGTTGTATTTTGTCAGTTATCTCACTATATATAACTTGTCACACTGTATTTCTTGGCAGTAATTTAATGTCTTTTTTCTGCTCTATTGAATCCTCAGAATTTAATACGGGAATTTGAAGGGATTCATATCATAGCTGGTTTCCTTTCTGATCCTGCAGCAGAGGTTAGAGTACAGACTCTGAACGCTTTAAATAATCTGTGCATGAACATCCCAAACCAGGAACAAATAAAGGTATGTTACTGTATACACAACGATTACGATGTAGTCTGTATCTGATTATGAATAGCATCCCTCTGCTTTTATTTTTTTGCTTATGTATTCATGTTAGCTTTTTTTATTTTTTGGAGAAGACATGTTTCATTAAAAATCTTATCTTGCTTTGTAGGTTTATGTGCCACAAGTGCTGGAACTGATTGAGATGTCACCAGTGAATTCTGACCTTCAACTTGGTGCTCTCAGGCTATTGACAAACCTTTCAGTCACAGACAAACATCAACACTTGCTGAAAGACTCAGTTACACTTTTACTGTCTCTGCTTGTTGTGAGCAGCGAAGCATTACAGGTAACTTTTCAGATTGCCCTTGTGTTGGCATCTTTTGCATTTTCTAAAGGCTGATTGCTGAAAGCTATGAAAGTTGTTTTAAACAATTCTTAAATCATTATTGGAAATATTATTATGAATACCTCTCTGAGATATTTTTTAAAAATAGTTGTTTTTTTTGGGAACCAGTTAAGGCCAGTATGGCTATGAATGCAATCCACTAGTGAAGCTCTTCTTATGTTTTGTTTCAGGTTCAAGCTTTGAAAGTCCTTGTGAATTTGTCATCTAATCCTGATATGATAGATGACATTGTTCAAGCTCAGGTAAGAATAAATGGACATCAGGGGTAGTTTTCATGTGATTATAATATACATCAAGTAAGTTAATGTGACTCCTGTGTTAAGAGGACATCAAAACAAACAGAGGTCAGATGTTCTGTAGTCAAACGGTTGTGACAGAGTTCCAAACTTCATTGTAAACCCCACAGGCATCGTTAGACCCCTTTTACTGGGGCACACACCCCATTATTGATCTGCTGGGCCCCAGTATAATCACACATTTGAATATTAACAAACTCCTATTTTTGGCAGTGGATTAATTAGATTGATAATAATGGAAAAAGAATTGATTTGTTGTTCTAATCCAGAATGTCAAAGCTGAGGTGCAGTGGTCACATATATGCATGTCATGCATGCGGTAGCTGGTGCACTGCAGCATTTATTGGCATGCAAAACAAAAGATAAGAAGGGACTGAGGTATGTGGTGGGGACTAAATTAAGTTTTTGAATAATATTGATGATAATATTGATATTTTGGCTCAAACATTATTGACTCCTGTAGATGGCTGTTAGAAAATTCTTTAGAGGAGGCCATGACAGGGAAGAAGTTTGGAGAGGTGAGGGTGAGAGAGGGAAGGCCTGGCTGTACAGTGCCTTGCGAAAGTATTCGGCCCCCTTGAACTTTGCGACCTTTTGCTACATTTCAGGCTTCAAACATAAAGATATAAAACTGTAATTTTTTGTGAAGAATCAACAACAAGTGGGACACAATCATGAAGTGGAACGAAATTTATTGGATATTTCAAACTTTTTTAACAAATAAAAAACTGAAAAATTGGGCGTGCAAAATTATTCAGCCCCCTTAAGTTAATACTTTGTAGCGCCACCTTTTGCTGCGATTACAGCTGTAAGTCACTTGGGGTATGTCTCTATCAGTTTTGCACATCGAGAGACTGAAATTTTTGCCCATGCCTCCTTGCAAAACAGCTCGAGCTCAGTGAGGTTGGATGGAGAGCATTTGTGAACAGCAGTTTTCAGTTCTTTCCACAGATTCTCGAGTGGATTCAGGTCTGGACTTTGACTTGGCCATTCTAACACCTGGATATGTTTATTTGGGAACCATTCCATTGTAGATTTTGCTTTATGTTTTGGATCATTGTCTTGTTGGAAGACAAATCTCCATCCCAGTCTCAGGTCTTTTGCAGACTCCATCAGGTTTCCTTCCAGAATGGTCCTGTATTTGGCTCCATCCATCTTCCCATCAATTTTAACCACCTTCCCTGTCCCTGCTGAAGAAAAGCAGGCCCAAACCAGGATGCTGCCACCACCATGTTTGACAATGGGGATGGTGTGTTCAGGGTGATGAGCTGTGTTGCTTTTACGCCAAACATAACGTTTTGCATTGTTGCCAAAAAGTTCGATGTTGGTTTCATCTGACCAGAGCACCTTCTTCCACATGTTTGGTGTGTCTCCCAGGTGGCTTGTGGCAAACTTTAAACGACACTTTTTATGGATATCTTTAAGAAATGGCTTTCTTCTTGCCACTCTTCCATAAAGGCCAGATTTGTGCAGTATACGACTGATTGTTGTCCTATGGACAGAGTCTCCCACCTCAGCTGTAGATCTCTGCAGTTCATCCAGAGTGATCATGGGCCTCTTGGCTGCATCTCTGATCAGTCTTCTCCTTGTATGAGCTGAAAGTTTAGAGGGACGGCCAGGTCTTGGTAGATTTGCAGTGGTCTGATACTCCTTCCATTTCAATATTATCGCTTGCACAGTGCTCCTTGGGATGTTTAAAGCTTGGGAAATCTTTTTGTATCCAAATCCGGCTTTAAACTTCTCCACAACAGTATCTCGGACCTGCCTGGTGTGTTCCTTGTTCTTCATGATGCTCTCTGCGCTTTAAACAGACCTCTGAGACTATCACAGTGCAGGTGCATTTATACGGAGACTTGATTACACACAGGTGGATTCTATTTATCATCATTAGTCATTTAGGTCAACATTGGATCATTCAGAGATCCTCACTGAACTTCTGGAGAGAGTTTGCTGCACTGAAAGTAAAGGGGCTGAATAATTTTGCACGCCCAATTTTTCAGTTTTTTATTTGTTAGAAAAGTTTGAAATATCCAATAAATTTCGTTCCACTTCATGATTGTGTCCCACTTGTTGTTGATTCTTCACAAAAAATTACAGTTTTATATCTTTATGTTTGAAGCCTGAAATGTGGCAAAAGGTCGCAAAGTTCAAGGGGGCCGAATACTTTCGCAATAATCTAACGTTACTTTAGGTAGCTAGTGTGTAACCAGGTGCAGATGTTGAATGTGAAGTAAAATACAGCTCTGTACATCAGCTCCTATTATCAGTTGGACTACACTGTTTGTTTATTGGTGTACTACATGCAGCCATCACAGCACAGTACAGTTTTGAAGTAACTAGAGCATCAATATGTTGTGGTCTTATGAGTTACAAAAAAAATAATGATTGTGTTTTTCTTTAAATTAATTATTTTTTGATTGATTAATTTGTTATGAAAGTTTAAATTTGACAAATCAAACTGGGGCTTCTTGACAGTCAATTTAGTTGTTACTGAAATGTGCAATACAGGGCCAGACTTTTATGCCATAAAAACATAGATTAATAATTCTACATTTTTATCTTTACTAGTGGGCTAAGTATTGAAAGTTCATAACACATTTCATTCATGCAGTAAACATTCAAGAAAAAAAAATTGTGTGATTTCGGTAATTGGGGGCCTTATGTCAGCAGCGCCCCTGGTAAATCCTCATTTTAATGTCATTCTTTTATGGTTCTTGCTTCAGGCACCAGCTTCTGTTGTCCTGCTGTTTGATGCACGAACAGCCCCTACAGTGCTTTTGCGACTGTTAACGTTTGCAGGGAACTTAAAGGCCTGGAGGCCCTCGGCCCAGGTGGCTGGTGAACTGAGGCAGAAGCAGGATTGCCTCTTCCGAGTCATGTTAGATGAATCCTCACAGCTTCACAGCAGACTGGTTCAGCTGCTTTCACACCCTGATGGGGAGATTCAGGCCCAGGTGGCTCGTATCTTGACATAGACCTCCCTCTCCGCACTCCTATTCCATCCACAGCTTTTGCTTCCACACACTTTCCCAAAGCCGTCACCCTTCATGTTAAATTACAACTCTGTTGACATCAGCTTTACAAAAGAGCAGGCTGTGTATCCTCCTGTGGATACTCAGCTTACACTCTGACATTCTCATTTTCCCTAGATCAATATTATTACCACACATAACTAAATGATCTATTCCACCTCCGCCAGCCACTCTTCCCTGATTCCCAGTTACTTACTACAATGAATTGGTGAGCAATGAGCGAGCAGGAAGCAGGAAACACCACATGTTCAGTAGAGTGTAAAAACAGGCCACCTCTTCCTGTTGTCTTATTGCCAAGAGTTTTCTTCTCATTGCCAGAGACTTTCTACAGTGTCCTTTCATTTCAGAATGTCACCTAATTTCTCTGAAGATATTTCCAAGGTGAAATTTTTGAACCCAAACCCACTGCCAACATTTTTTAGAGATTATGTTTGTACAACCCAACTTATTTCCCCTTCAGTGGTTCAGAGAGACACTTAACTGGAGAGGATTCATGCTGTACACCTCAGCATGCCTTGGAGGTGTGAATGAATGGACGTACCGCAGCTCTAGTTCTTGCTAATGTATCAACATGTTGGATTTAAAAGTCATACCCTTATTCTAATGAAAGTAAGAATTGTTATTTATGTATTTAATTTGATAAGGTGCATTGTAATTTTAGACGAGCCAAAGTGAGGTTATCCTATGGGGAGGGTGCCCCCACCTTCTGTGATTCTCTGACAAGAGGGGTTCAGTGCATCAGGAAGAAGTTCAAACACTGCCTCCTCCATTAAGAGCGAAGCACTGCAGAGAGATAGTTCAGGTGTTTGGGATACTTTTGATTTCTCAGCTGATCTACAGCCACCTGCAAATTCTTCAGGGAGGGGCTGGAGGAAGTTGCTGCAGAAAAGGATGTCTGGCTGGTTTATGACTAGCACAACAGTCAGGCACATATGCAGCCTAAAAATAAGTGTAGGAGTGGTTGACCCTGGACAAAAGAGCCTGCAGTAATGATAATAATTGTATGATTGCTGTATGCACTGTAAAAATGTTATGCATAAAATGTCTGATGAATGATAACAGTGACTGAATGTTAAATAGAAGACTTGTTATGCTTATTTATGCACTGATAACAGAATAAGACAGACGTACATGTTGTCTGGAGGACTGGATCTATGGCCCATCTACTAACCTGTTAATTAAACCCTATTTAGAGAAAAGAGTATGAGTGTAGGTGCATACCTGTAATATGCATGAAAATGTGGCAATTAAATGAGAATAAGATTTTTAATGCAAGGATTTTATGGCAGGGGCCAGTTTCAGTTCATAGAAATGCTGCATATTTTTGAGATTTGGTCACTGGCTTTACTTAACCCAGATCCCAAATCTCTCTCAGGTAGTTTACCAGACTCAGCAAAAGTCTGATGTACTTGTGACCTAAATTATCACATATATTTAATGAAGGACGTTTGTCTATAAAATGAGAAATTAGTTTGTGTGTTTCAATGGCTCAATAAATACCCTATGAACTATGCACCTCTTTATTTCTTATGTTACCACAACTTTATTCAGCTGGAATCCTTCACTGTGGTTAGACAACAGGCTCAGCTGCCATTTTACAATCACCAGAAAAACCATGAATCGCGTTTGTGTCAAGGCTGTTTCTACAACATTTAGTATATAACTACATGTTTTATTTTTACATTAAAAATAGTTTCTCATTTTTCAATTCAGTGTTAATGCTTTATGTTCTGTTTAACGTTTACGGCGCACATTGAATTGATATGTCGTATTTACCCTACAGATAAACCTGAAAGATGTATTTGAACAACAACCTTTAAAAAAATGAGGCTGATTTCGCCCTTACGATGATGCCTTTAGGTCTTTGTCTCACCCACTCCCTCCTCCCCGGGCGACACACAGTCTCCTCCCCCTCTGAACGAACTTGATGGCCATCTCTGGATCATCTTGTTCTCCATCAGAGTCGCACCGCGGATCGGGGATTGCGCACAGACAGGCGATCGTTCACAACGCAGCGCACGGATCAGGAAAGGGACGGGAGAGGGGACACATGTTATCGGATTAGCCGTATCAGCTATGAACATCCACAGTGTGAAGTCGAAGTAAACGGAGCTCTCGCACCATAAACGCGTCGAGGATGAGCGGGCTTGCAGTGGCCACAGGGTCGGCTTCTTGCCGTTTCGTCCACTATTTTGTTGTGTGTGGAGTGGACACGGAGACGGGCCTGGAGCCGGACGATGGAGCAGGTAGATGGTCAACAAAACGTAGAAGAAACGAGCCTACACCTAAAACTACGACAATATATATTTCATGCCATTGTGTTAATCATCTTCCAATCACAGCCTTACTTGTGCTCGTGTGACATCCAGTCAAATATGTTTAAATGTCTCTCTTCCTTTCAAAGCCTTGCTGAAGACGTACCTGCGAGGAGCCTTTGTAGCGTCGCCTACTATATTTTGACCAATACATTTTTATTTTTTTGCAAACAGAATATTCTGTTTGCCATTTCTGAACATTGCTGAAATGTGTTTTTTTTTTTTAGGTAGACAATAGAACACAAATCCGAAGAGAATGATCATAGAATAATAATTAGGTCATTCCAGTCTTTGTTTTTATTGTATTTTTGCTGTACTATTTATTGTATATGTATTTATTTTCAAGACCTTATTTTAAGCCAGTTGACACAGTAGCTTTGTTGGTTTCTGCAAGTCATCCCCTGCTACACCTGTCTGAGGAGCATAGTGGAGAAAGGGCAAGGACAAGAGCATCCTATCTGTCCAGTAAAGCTGGAGCACCGGGGGAAGATTGCACTGTTCTGTAATTCACAAAGCAGTGATAATCTCTCTGTCATTATGTTATTTCTCTTGTGTCAGACAGAGGCATCTGTACTTGTCTCACCAAAGGCAGAAAGGTGCTGGTGGAAGTTAAAAGAAATGGATGCTGTAATGTCGGTGGATGTGGGGGTTGCTACGGTGATGACAGCTGCAGTGATGCTGTTTTGTGTCAGGGGCTCACAATGATTTATTCATGGTGGATAGCCCTGGTAGAAATAAAAATACCAGGTGGTGTTTCTTATACACTGAGTGGTTGACGCTCAGCTCGCTGAGGTGAGGGCAGACTCTCCCAGGAGCCCTGTGTGACATCTGCACATGTTCTACTGTGTGTGTGTGCCTGTGTCTTTGTGAGGAAACAAAACCATGCAGGTGTGCTGAATACCAACACCTTGAATGTTACTTCCAGGTTTGATTTGGGGGAGCGCTAACAATAGTCACACCCTGTATTCTCCCTGTGTGCTGTGTAGAGCAGTTCCTCAGAGGAAAGGTGGCCATAACCAGACATGCCATGCTTTGTATTCAGCCACGAGTCTTTTGAATAATAGCACTACGTCAGACAATTAAAATGTATATTAAGATCATGGTAGAGCTTATAGCTCTGCTGCAGATGATTTAGTGCTTTAACTGACCAGCAAGGACTGTGATATCTGGCTCCCTGCAGCAAGTGACAGCACCGCTGGATGGTATATCTGAGTTGTCTCAGTGTGTTTATGTAACAGCAGGTCCTCTAGACCTGCAGCAGCATGGGGCTCTGCTCCTTTCAGTAGATCTCCATCTGTCTATGGTTCCATACATGAACTGCAGTCAAGCAAGATATTTTATTCTTACATGAACACCAGCCTGAGTGTTTAGATGAGGTTATGCAATACCTCTATTGTGTATGTGTGTGTAATTAGTGACACAGAGACAATCGCCTCTTGTTGGCTACTCAATAGATGCCATTGTGTGTTCTGCAGCCTAATCAGATTTCTCATTGTCTGTTGGAATGCTGACTGGCCGAGGCTTTAGCGCCCGTTCAGGTCAGATGACTGCCACAGAGGGATGACATCAGTGCAGGCTGAGGACTCCCTGTTTGCTATAATGTTGAACCAATTGTAAAGAGATATTATACACTTGATGTACACGTGCTGTATGCGTGCAGAAAATTCAGAGTGAGTTATTTTATTTTTAGGCACTCAACACATTTTATTCTTTATTGTAACAGATTAGTCCAGCAACATATCTCTATCTGTGTCCTTGTCTGGGGATGGGGAAACCTGTAATTCAAAAACAAAGTGACCTCAAATGTTTGAAAAGTCAGTGCCAGCTGACATTTACTGTCTTTTCTTTTATATGTGATCTCATCTCATTTAATGATGTGAGGAGGGTAGGGGTAATTTAGCCGCTGAATATGACAGATGTCTACCTTTTTTGGCCGTTCAGTGGTTCCTGATGAAGTGCTCCAGTTTTAGGGATGTAAGGTCATTTGTGGCCATACGTTTTTAAGAAGAATTTAAAAAAAATCTTGGAATAAATATGAAACATAAAGTTTCTTTTGTTCAAAAACATTAACAATATTGATGTTAAAGTTACAGTGAATATTAGAGCTGAAACAATAAGATAAATAGAGAGAGAAAGATCATCTGCAACTATTTTATTTATCATGTAATCATTTAATTCTTTTTAAAAAACATTAACACTACTCCCAGCATTTCATTTGTAAGGATATGCTGATTTTCTTTATCTTATAGTGTGACAACCAGCATATCACAACCCATCACAGTCTATCACACTGTGATAGAAAACTGAATATAGTTGGGTTTTTGACAAACAAGTGATCTGAGGACATTATCTTGGATTTTAGACATTATGTTTCAGGAAATTTTAATGGACATTTTGTCACTATTTTCTGACAATTTATTGACCAAACATTTAATTAATAAGAAACTCATTAGCTGATGTATTCCTTGGCTCATACATGTTTCCTAGTGTGTGTGTAAGGTGGTAAGACAAGGAAACATGCTAATTAGAGCCCCACTGAAACAGACATTCATTCAAACACTAAAACAAACCTTCCCCTTACTCTCTTCTGTTTGAACGTGTTTTGTGCCAGCTCTTTGGTGGGATCTCGTTTCAGGAGGAGTGTGCGTTTGAATCAGGTCAGCTGATGAAGCTCGGGGTGATGTAACCGCTGATGAGTTTTGTCTGATGGCTATCTTTTGAGGTCACAGCGGAAGTGGCTACCATGGCAACTGGGGAACCTTCTGCAAGGCTCAATTTTGCCTCTCAGCACCAGCGCCAGCCAACTTGTATTGTTAAAGAACATTGACACCCCCTCTTGTGATTTCGATCCATTAGCCTGTGTGTCCCACATACCAGCCTGACTCAGTTTAATGTGAAGTGCTGCTTTTATGGACTCTGCCTGTGGCACAGTTTCCTCTCTCGCAGTCCTGTGCGTCATCAGGCAGGTGAGGTAGATGGTCCTAATGTTGAGTGAGTGCGTCAAAGCTGGCAACTGAGGAAAAACTGTTGGTTTGCTATTGCAGGTGATTGTTGTTCTTGCAATGTGGTGATGTCAAGCAGAGCTGAACATGAACTCTGAGAAGACATAGTGGATTAGTAAAATGGTGAATACAGCGAAGAGCACTGCTCAAGGGCATCCCCTCGGAAAGTGGATGAATAATGACAGCACTTCATTCACTACTGTCAGTCCCTTACACACGGTTTATTTCTACTGCCTGCTCTCTTTTTCAGCAGCCCCTCTTCATCCACTCAGCTCTCACACAGGCAGCACTCTGTACATAACTGGAGCTAAAAGCTGACACTGAAGACAGGAGTAACTTGAGATAGACAAGGCATTGCATCAAATACATGGACTGTGAATGTAGGAATTCACTGTCGATTCAATCCTTTCATGTAAATGTAGCTGTTATAGATAAATCTCACACCCTTTCCTGCTGCACAGTGTCAGATGAGGTGGTGTTTTACCGCTTTTCTAGTCTATCTTTAAGGTAATGAGTTGAGTTACATAACCCTTGGACAGGTTTTTCCTTTTTGCTGCAGAATAGTTGTTGACAGCAGATGACTTTTTATTTTAGCCCGTGCCAGACAAGGTCTGAGCCTTTTTATAAAGCAAAGCTCCTGCCACTTTGTTTTGACTTTTCCATCTTGTTCTGAATTTTGTTTCAGCAGAGAGGATGGTCAGGGATTGTTCTGACTGTATCTGTCTGTCTTTCAGGTGAAAGCTTTGAGCAGAGCCCCATACGACGATCATTCAAGTCCAAGGTTCTGGTGCACTACCCTGAAAACACAGACAGGAACCCCTTCAATAGAGATGCTGTCAACATGGTGAGTTTGGATACACATAACTGCTCCTCACTTCCCAGAGATGCTCCATTATATTACGTTATTTATTTATGGCCTCATTAAAATGCAGGAAATTACTGAATGCGTTTTAATGTAATTTTATTGGGTTTTCAGATCTGGAAACAACTATGACATAATATAAAACAAATTGTCAAGGGGTACTCAGTCATATAGAGTATAAACATTTTCGTACCACATTATTGCATATTTAACCATTATGTTTTGTTGGTCACGTAATATTTTCCAGTTTCCATATTTTCTTTTAACTGTGAAAAATTATTAGCAACCAACCAATTTCACTAACTTAGCCAGCAAATAAGATTTAC